ATTTAAATTATGACCGTTTCTAAAATGTAGCATTTTCTTTAAACCGTCACATTTCACAAAAAATTAAGATATCGGGGTAAATAAAAAAACAAAGTGTTGGTAGGTAACAAATCAGTCTTCTTGATAAAGTTAATTGTATGCAGATCTACTAGCAGAATTAACCTACAGGGTTTGTCAAAAGTAGAGGAAAAAATTGTTCTCTTCCCCCCCGTATATCCGGCGAGTACTAAATTACTTTTAGATGTCCGAATAATAATCTAAAAACTAAGTATTTTATCTAAAAGTTGCTAAAAACTTCAAATAAATAAGCCTCCGCATTTGAAAGTTAGATCATTTTTATATAAATCATTATTTTGAATGGATCAAATTTTAGGTCTGTGAATGTATTTTACTACTAACATTTTTAACTTCAAATTGTTACTTTTGAGTTAAACAAAAAATTAAATTTCTAAATTAGTTAAGTTCGTTTCCATATTTAAAGAGACCAGAAAAAACTAAAATTAGTCATGTTTTTGTACAATGATTTTACAGCTAAAATATAACGTTTAAATTGTTATTTTTGAGCAATTTGGAGATAAAAAATGAAACTAAAGGGGTTTTTAAGTAACTTCAATACGTTATAATGAGGATAATTTAATTCCATCTGAATTTTTAAAAGTCATATATTATGTTGGTACTTTTATATATCTGTGCCTATCAGTACCTACCAAAAGTAATGCTTTAAATCAATTTTGCCTAGATTAATTAAAAAGTAATGATTATATTTGGTCATAAATATGGACTTGTAAGTACATTTTATTGTAGTGTACACGCATGACATGTAACTTTTAAAAATGTGCTTAGTTTAAAAATAATATAAAAACAGTTAATTTTAGTAATAAAATCATCTAGTAAAAATTAATAGCATATAATTATTTTTTTTGTGCTTTTTCCAAATATGGATACAAATTTAACGACTTATAAGGATAGACAAATTTTTAAATTTTTTGAAAAGATGGAACTGCATTTTGTTTCTTATTAATACCTTAATAGATTATGGTAAGTTGTAGAGAATACATGTGCCAAATTTTAATAACATGTAAGGGTGGTTGGTAAGCTATGAAACAAGAAAGAAATTAGCAAAGTTAATAAAACTACCTATATCTCGGTTATAAATGACGAAAGAACCATTAAGTAAAGTTATTTTGAATAATATCAGTAGCATAAAAAACTAAGTATTAAAAAAAGAGTGAAGTAAAACTTCTTATATTAATTCACTCTAAAATAAAAAAAGACAAATAAAATCCGCGTACATCAATATTTATCGCATACTATTAAGGTTATAACTCTAAACAGCAAGGCACCGACGATGCACGAACGACGATCGTTTGCAGTCGAAATTGGAGTTCAAGTGGAGGACTAGGCTGTTAAGGTGTTAGGAAATCGAAATTTGTCGTTTTTATGAATTAGCTCATCATATTTTTTATGTTAGGACGAATCGTAAGAAGTGTTAATTATTTATTTTAATCTGTTATTAATTTACTTAAACTTATTCAAATTTATTTAAATTTATTTTAATTTAATTTATTTAAATTTATTTAAATTTATTTAAATTTATTTAAATTTATTTAAATTTATTTAAATTTATTTAAATTTATTTAAATTTATTTAAATTTATTTAAATTTATTTAAATTTATTTAAATTTATTTAAATTTATTTAAATTTATTTAAATTTATTTAAATTTATTTAAATTTATTTAAATTTATTTAAATTTATTTAAATTTATTTAAATTTATTTAAATTTATTTAAATTTATTTAAATTTATTTAAATTTATTTAAATTTATTTAAATTTATTTAAATTTATTTAAATTTATTTAAATTTATTTAAATTTATTTTTTAATTTATTTTTTAATTTATTTTTTAATTTATTTTTTAATTTATTTTTTAATTTATTTTTTAATTTATTTTTTAATTTATTTTTTAATTTATTTTTTAATTTATTTTTTAATTTATTTTTTAATTTATTTTTTAATTTATTTTTTAATTTATTTTTTAATTTATTTTTAATTTATTTTTTAATTTATTTTTTAATTTATTTTTTAATTTATTTTTTAATTTATTTTTTAATTTATTTTTTAATTTATTTTTTAATTTATTTTTTAATTTATTTTTTAATTTATTTTTTAATTTATTTTTTAATTTATTTTTTAATTTATTTTTTAATTTATTTTTTAATTTATTTTTTAATTTATTTTTTAATTTATTTTTTAATTTATTTTTTAATTTATTTTTTAATTTATTTTTTAATTTATTTTTTAATTTATTTTTTAATTTATTTTTTAATTTATTTTTTAATTTATTTTTTAATTTATTTTTTAATTTATTTTTTAATTTATTTTTTAATTTAATTTATTTTTTAATTTATTTTTTAATTTATTTTTTAATTTATTTTTTAATTTATTTTTTAATTTATTTTTTAATTTATTTTTTAATTTATTTTTTAATTTATTTTTTAATTTATTTTTTAATTTATTTTTTAATTTATTTTTTAATTTATTTTTTAATTTATTTTTTAATTTATTTTTTAATTTATTTTTTTAATTTATTTTTTAATTTATTTTTTAATTTATTTTTTAATTTATTTTTTAATTTATTTTTTAATTTATTTTTTAATTTATTTTTTAATTTATTTTTTAATTTATTTTTTAATTTATTTTTTAATTTATTTTTTAATTTATTTTTTATTTATTTTTTAATTTATTTTTTAATTTATTTTTTAATTTATTTTTTAATTTATTTTTTAATTTATTTTTTAATTTATTTTTTAATTTATTTTTTAATTTATTTTTTAATTTATTTTTTAATTTATTTTTTAATTTATTTTTTAATTTATTTTTTAATTTATTTTTTAATTTTTAATTTTTTAATTTATTTTTTAATTTATTTTTTAATTTATTTTTTAATTTATTTTTTAATTTTTTTTTTAATTTATTTTTTAATTTATTTTAATTTATTTTAATTTATTTTAATTTATTTTAATTTATTTTAATTTATTTTAATTTATTTTAATTTATTTTAATTTATTTTAATTTATTTTAATTTATTTTAATTTATTTTAATTTATTTTAATTTATTTTAATTTATTTTAATTTATTTTAATTTATTTTAATTTATTTTAATTTATTTTAATTTATTTTAATTTATTTTAATTTATTTTAATTTATTTTAATTTATTTTAATTTATTTTAATTTATTTTAATTTATTTTAATTTATTTTAATTTATTTTAATTTATTTTAATTTATTTTAATTTATTTTAATTTATTTTAATTTATTTTAATTTATTTTAATTTATTTTAATTTATTTTAATTTATTTTAATTTATTTTAATTTATTTTAATTTATTTTAATTTATTTTAATTTATTTTAATTTATTTTAATTTATTTTAATTTATTTTAATTTATTTTAATTTATTTTAATTTATTTTAATTTATTTTAATTTATTTTAATTTATTTTAATTTATTTTAATTTATTTTAATTTATTTTAATTTATTTTAATTTATTTTAATTTATTTTAATTTATTTTAATTTATTTTAATTTATTTTAGTTTATTTCATTTTAATTTACTTTAATTTTAAATTATTTTAATCTATTATAATTTATTTTAATTTATTTAAATTTTTTTAATTAATTTATTTTAATTTATTATAATTTATTTTATTTTTTTTAATTATTTTATTTTAATTTAATTTATTTTAATATAAATTACAGTCATCGTCCACTCACCCATTGTTGATACACCTTGTAATAATATAGCTGCATATATATTTATTAGTCACAGAGAGTAAATGCATTTAAAAAACTTATTGGCTCTATGCGAAACCCAACAAAAATTTTTGGCAGTTAATGTGTTAACATAAAATAGATCTTAAAATGAGAATCCAAATATATCTAAAATAAATTTTTTGGATGTCACATAACCTAGTGTGTAAAGTTCTAATATACTCTATGGTGGATGTCATATAGTCGGGTGAGTAAGTTTTAATATACTGAATGTTGGATGTCAGAGAGTCGAGTGACTAAATTCTAATATACTTAATGGTGGATGCCAGACAGTCGAGGGACTGAAATATTTAATATACAAAATATACAAAACCAACTGACGCGAGCGCCACCTTCGCATCTATACACTGGAACTAAATATATACATAAAATTGAAAATTAAGCATTATGACATCCAGCTGAAATTTTTTTGGCTCCCTTTTAAACCTCCTTTATGATGTTTGAACCCCAAAAACGTTGTGACATCCGAATTTGGATGTCACATCGCAGACGGATGTTAGAAAGATAGCAACATTTTTGCGACATGATGTCACAAAGTCGGCAGGACGAATCTATATATATATATATATATATATATATATATATATATATATATATATATATACAAAAAAAATATTAGGTTAACTATTTAAAAAAATCCAAACTCAAAACTAGAAATTGTTAGCAAAAATCAAGCACTATATGGGGACAAAGCCCATGATTTTAAAAAAATTGGTGAACAAAATGGAGGGTTAAACCTTACGGAAGGTTGAAATAACAAAAATAGAATAGAATAAATAGAAAACACCAAAAGCGATATCAACATGAAATCTTCAGGAAAAATCGAGCTTTCTAAGAGGATGAAGTTTGTTGATTCTGAAAAAAATTTGAATAAAAATGAGGGGTTAAGGGGGGCGGGGTCTGTTAAACTGTGAAGGGTATAATATAGAATGCCAAGCATTATTATATCTTCATTCTAGTTACTATTTAACATTCATCATATCGGTGTTGAAAATACCTAAGCCACATTTTTAGGTAAGAGTTAACTATATCCCATCAATAAAAAAAATATGAAAAATACAGCGGTGGCGATTTTTTAATTATAACCATCAAATCCGATAAACTGTGAACCAAGCTAAGAGAAAATACATATATTTCTTTCAGTGGTAAAATAATAAATATTAAAACTCACCATTCTCTATTCTTTCCCTAAGCTCGTGTTGCAACCTGGCGTGCCGGTCCTCCAATTCCAGTTCTTGACCTCTCACGGTCAATTCTCTTTCGTATCGTCTAAGTTCGGTACGATCTCTCATTAAATCGAACCACTCCTGCAACAATTCCGGTTCGTCCTTGGACGAATCGCCGCTTCCTTCCCCGCGCAGAGCCTTCTCCACTTTCACTCCCCTCTCTTCGAGCTCCTTCATCTTCACTTCGGTCTCTTCTAGTTTTCGTTGTATTTCTTGAGCCATGCGGTGTCTGGAATTCAGTTCATAATGAGAAAAGAAGAAACATTCATTTTTTTAACTCCAAAGCGGTAAAGACACATTTCACTTATGATACACTATATCAGTGATTACGTAATTTCTGTTTACTGACAATTACGGTGATCTTATAATAATAGAGGTGTTAGATAACTTCCGATTCTGATGCCGTGGTGTCAACGTCGATATGGCGGTCTCAGAATTGGAAGTCAAGTTTGTATGTTTCCGATAAAATCTTTTCAAAATCGGTCATCGATAAATGTATATTGTCTGATGTGTTTAGTATTTGTGCTTTAAAATTTTTTGAACTTGTATTTAAAAGATATATAGTGAATATAGCTAGTAAATTAAATTATATGATAGAGAACTCGTTCTCAAGTTTATGGTGCAATTAGTAGAATATAGCTCCTGATGTTTTTAAATTAGTATAACCAATGGAAAAGAGTGAACATGGATTTTTCAATGGGAAGATGGAAAATTCCAGACGTTCTTTAATGAATATTCCCGTAATATAAGCTAAAATACCTGCTCTGGCTAAATACCTTAAGGGTGGAGGCCACAAAACTAACAGAAGAAGAAGAGGTGTTAGATAACTGTCAGTGAAAGACAAATTACGTTACACATAAAGTATATTAATTAATATCACTTTAACATTAATTATTGCGAACAAGAAGAACTTTGACTATACAGAGTGAGCGATAGTTGCCTTTCACAGACGGCCTGGATTTAAAAAGAAACTGAACGGGATATACCTCTTAACTTGGGCTTGCCTTATCGCCCTCAGACTTTTACTCGACCTTCTACAGGCGGTACTACTGACTGACGTGCCAGTACAATCGAGAGTGTCGCAGGAACTGTCGTTCAGTTTTTTTTTCGTATCCTCTTCGGCATCTGAACTGTCATCTAAAATAAACAAACTGTCAAAAAATAACCCACAAGAGTCGAGAAATAATCGCCGACCTGTTTTTTTGCTATAATTAATCGGCAACGGCGGTACTGGAGGCGGCGTAACGTTTCTATCTATAAAATCTTCAGAGATACTTTTCCTTTGATAGATAATGACGGGTTCCTAAAAAATCGAATTTTAATTTTAATACGAATGTGAAATAGTTTTGAAATCGTGTAGAGAGCCGTTCGATAAGTCTATATCCAAAAGAGATAATGAAAAGAGCGGCGTTTGAGGATCTGAAACACCTTAAAACATGTACTGCTGCAAGATTTATGCAGTATATTAGTAATGACGTAAAAATAAGCCAAAATTGGTTATAGACTAAACATCTACTTTTTTTAGGTATTCAAATATATTCTTAAAGCAGATGATAAAAAATTTGTTTGAAAATTATAATTATTGAATGAATTGACTTATCGAAATGCCTATTAAAAAATAATTAAATTATAAAAATTAGTGATGGGTCGTTTGGAAAAGTCCACGGGCAAGTCCGACGGACTAGTCTGAAAAGCACATTTTTCAAAAGTGGAAAAGTGTATTGCGCCCGCGCGAAATTAAATTCACTAATTTTTCTGAATTGCTTACAAACAAAGGCAAAATATAGAAGAAATGCCAAATGATTACTGACTTCCATAAATGTTTTAACGATTTTTTCTTATCATATCTTATTAAAATAAACACGTGTAAAAATACCAAAAAAGCCAAAGGTTGAAAGTATTTTACAAATAATTTTCCTAAAAAACGAAAATACAAATTGTTCCCAAAGTATTTTAAAAATTTTTTTTTTTTTTCATTTATTGCCAATGGACATTAGTACTTCAGCCAAACACAAATTAAAAGGTATGAAGTTTATCCAAAAAAACATACAGGACGGAGATTTTACTGTGTCTTCTATGCTCAAGGTCGACTACTTTTGATTGTGACTTTTTATTACTTTTTCGGACATGTCCGTCGGACTAGTCCAAAAATTACTTTTCATGAAAGTCCCATCACTAATAAAAATAAACACAATTTAGCAAATATGTATAGTTTCTTACAAATATTGATAGTATTTTTTTATTTAATATCGAATCTAATAGTAAAATAAGTTTTATAGAAAACATACATGCAAACAAGTATAACGTGCAAAAGGAGACAACACACACTATCCCAAACACAAATCTTACTTTTTCGTACTCCAGATTAGTACACGACTGTAAAACAAACAAATTATGTTAATAAAGCATCGAAAAGTCTGAAAAAAACGAGTGGAAAAAGTGATTTATTATCTATAATTAGCTTAAATCTATAGAACTAAGCCACAGTTTATAGCTAAAGAATCAGTTCGCTCACTCTGCGTCGGCACTTTTGATCTCAATGTTCCAGTTTGTACACTGCGCAACTCGGATTTGTATCCCTGGCGCATACAGAATCAAATTATAACCAATACAATTAATGACAACCGCCTATATTCGAACAGCTGTCTTTTGCGCATCCTGAATTTGTATCCCTGGAGTGGATGTTATTTTGGAACATTCAACTGGCCCGAGTGAGCTAACTGATTCTTTAGCAATAAACTGTGACTAAGCCATCAACTTTTACTCTTGTAATCATTGGATATAAAAATAATTTACTATTTAAAATATATACAAAAAACTTACAGGTTACAACTTTTTATTTCTTATTATTCATATAAAACCTGAATCTATAATTATTGTATTCCTTGGACTCCAATCAAACTATGGAATACATTTTGTATTGGTGTAAAACCATTTCGATCAAAAATTGTAAAAGTCACAAAATGTGTTTAAAATAGTTGTGACAGCAGCAATTAAATATCTTTTGTGTTTCAAATAAGAAGACTATAAACTTAAAAGTTGCGTTCTTGGCGATGTAACACGGACATCCTTAAACTATTGCCACTCTGAAACAAATTATTCAAAATATTTGAAATTCATAAAAAAATATTCAAAATAATTGGGGTAACATTTTGTTGTAGACAGAAATTAAATATCTTCGGTGGTTTTCTAATGACGAGGTGATAAAGTTATAAGTTGCGTTTTTAGATATGAGACAAGGTCATCTTTAAAATGTTGCCAGACTAAAATAATTATTTAAAATTCACAAAAAATATTCAAAAAAAGTTGGCGTAATATTTTGTTGAAGACAGCAATTAAATATCTTTGCTGATTTTCAAATACCAAGGTGATAAATTTAAAGGGATTTTTAGAGGAACAATAAGTTAAAACTATGATTTCCATTTAAAATTCATAAGAGTTATATCAAAGAATCAAAAATGTTTACTATTTTAACCATACCGGATGTTACTTTTACATTGTTTTAAAAGTTCGTGATTAAATTAAAACTGCTATATCTAATGACTAACCAAATAAAAATCGATGGCAACCAAAAGCAACTCAATTACCTTTGAAATCTCCTTCGATTTCGGTGACAACTTGGAGAACAACCCTTTCGAACCTCCAGAAGGACTCTTTTTTGTGAAAAATCCAGAAAAGAATTTCGTCAAACCCTTTTTCTCCTGACTCTTCCTCTTACTTTTATCCTCGTCCAATCCCAATATATTCGGATCGGACTTGTACATCTTGTTCTTGTTTTGATCGATGCTAATAGGTTGTCCAGATGTCAGTTTATCGGGAAAATAAGAAATTGATTTGGCTTTTTTCTTTAAAGAATCCTGCTCAGCAGTATCATAATCGCCACTGGTGCATCTCCTTACAGGTCGATCTATTTTTTTAATAGAATTACTGGAAAAATTGGCGTTCCTTTGATCTTTATTGAGTAACATTTGTTCGTTTTCTTGCTTCCTCATCCGTATAGTTTGCTTCAACTTTTCTAGCTTCCTGTTCATTTCTTCAGGCGTTTTGGTCTTCTCTTTCGAAGCCTCCAAATGCTGCTGTGGTCTACTCGAATTTGCTGCTTCATTTTTTATAAAATCCGCATTAGTTGATTTTAAGTTTGTCATCAGCAGTACATCTGGCTTCGAATTACCTTGATATAAAGATTTTCTGCTGGTACACTGTTTGCCATTGTACGAAGTGCCTACAACTATGCTCGAAGCGGATTTGTTTATTTCGAAATTTTGTTTATTCCTCTTCCGTCTCTCCAAAGATTTATTCTCTGCCTTCATTTTGTTCATCACCATTTCCTGTATAAGTTTCTGGTTGGTATCTCTCTCCTTTTTGATCACGTCTTTATTGTAAATGATATCAGGTGAATTGAACTTAACAGGAAGAATTTTGGGTGATGAAATCGGACTGGGTATTTCTTCAGTTATCAAATCAGGTTTTTGAAGAACGTCCGGTTTGCTTTTCCTTCTCGATTTGGCTTTACGCACGTTGATAGAGTCTCTTGCGTTCGAGAACTCGATCTTAGACGTCAATCTTTGGCAGTGCTCTTCGTATTCTAAATTATTATCTTTTTCAACGACGTCTTCTACAATTGTGGTATCTGTATCAGTATTTTTATTCTTATGCTCGTTAACATTGTTATTTTCAGTTAAAATCAACGTATCTTTACTGAAATCTTCTACATTTTTCACAGTGGAATCTGTGAAAGTGTTATCTTCTGTCGTAGTACCTGATTCGATTATAACAACGCTATCGTCGTCGGGTTCTGTGTTGGTGGTGACAACAAGTTTGGTTTTATCCTGCTCTTCAGTAACAGTTTTGAAATCTACAACGTTCTTAGCTTCTATTACATCGTCAATATGTGGATTTAGACTGTCCGTAGCAAATTCGTCATCGTTTTTAAACAAAACATAACCATTTTGGCTGTTAACGATGCCATCATCGCTACTTGTCTCCGTACCGGTATCCATGAACTCGATATTATCCAAATTGAAGCTCAAAATGCTGTGCATACCTTCGGTTAAGATAACCTTATCTTCCTTAGTAAGAATCTTCTTTTCACACTTGTCCGATGGTTTGAAACTGATTTCGAATTCACCATCTTCGAAATCGTCGGATACCATTTCATCTCTAGCCCAATCAGATAGTTCCGATTCTGTTAAAGCTGTCTTAACTTGTTCTGCTATCGATTCTGGCGAGCTCAGGGAGCTGGAATTATTCTTCACTGGTTCCGATGTGTCTTTGGTTACATCTAAATCTTTGTATTTAATGTGCAAGGAATTGTGGATTTCTGGCAGCAAGTTTTCTAAATTGGGTAAAGTTTTCGGCTGGTTCAAAGTTTTTTTTTCGCTGGTAATGGATTTGGGTGATTCGATGGACGGATTTTTTGGCTGATCTTCTTCAAAGTACTGCAAAGAATCGGCTATGAATTCTTCTTTATGTTGCTCGCTTTCCGGTGCGGTATATATCTGTATGGTTGGTATATTTTCGAAAGGTTTTTCAACATCGCTGTCAGATGATGCTAGACTGTCAGAGGTTAGGCTGTCGTTCCGCTTGCTCCAATCAATTTTAGGGACAATTATAAAGGTTTCATGAAGCGGGCTACGAGGACGACTATCCGAATCGTCTGCAACCTCCGGTTCGTTTGAAGGGTCACCTTTATGTTCTACAGCGTCTTTTGAGGCCGTTTCATCGATTTCTTTAGTTAAAATAAGAGTAGGTGGAGACACTGGTGATTTCAACTCGTTCATTTTTTTGCAGAAAGTCTGCATGCTCGCGCTGATTTCGGTTGAAGGTTTCAACATCTTTTGGCAGTCTGAAATGTTGGTATGAAAACTTTTAAATTTAGTGTCCAAAGTGGAAGCGCTTCCAGATTTCTGGATGCTACCGGGACTAGGTTCGCCTAATAGATATTTCTTTTTGAGTTCAAGTGATACCTTTGCTGCAATCCCACCAGTGCTTTGAGTGCGGTTCAAAACGTAACCCTCGGGTCGTGAAAGAGCAATGGGTGCGGGTTTTTTAACTTGTGCAGAAGAAGGAACCAGTGGTGTTAGTTTTAATTCGATATTGGATTTTTTGCTTTTGCCATCTGAGGGTTTTTGTAGGTATCGACTGGTCACCTGGATTCTCTTAGGGGCGTGGCTGCCTCCTGTTCCTCGGATCTTGGTGACGTTGAAATCGTTCAGGAATAACGATGGGAGTTCTCTGGTGGGCGTGGGATCATCTTGGGCGAATTCCGAATCGGTCGATATTTCTGTGGCTGAATTGTGGACTGCGTTCGATGATTCGGAGCTGGTCTCGTCGGAAACAACCTAAAATTCAAATTAAATCAGTTTTATTTTTTTTTTATATCTTCGAGTAGCAAATATACAATATGAGAGTTTGCTCAAAACGAGAGGTTATGGTTATATTTTGATTTGGTTTAAATTCTGGTACTCATTACACATTCTTGTATTGAATTATCTAGTTATTTCCATTTTCTGTACCTAAAAGTTGTAGAAAGTTTGGAAGAAAATTATCTAACAATCAAGAATACTAATTTTTACGAGATATTTCTCCCATCCCAAATTCAAGCCTAGGCACTCATGATATTATCAGCTAATGTGAATAATATAATAAATAATAAAAATACTCTCCCTAATTCACCCCCTTACGAGTTAGTTTCAACACCTGAAGTCGACTGAGCGACTTGTGCAGGGGAAGGGATGACTATTATTATTAATTGCCGTGGCGTTCCGGGGCGACTTAAAGATGATTGATGGTGCCATTTGACTTACAGGTGAGGAAAATCTAGAAAAACTACCCACCATCATCGAAAACGGTGACGCATGGCGATCATATCAACAGAAATTCAATTTCTGCTAATACGGCATCCATCAAATAATATAGAGAGCCATGCAAATAAATTCGCATGGTCTTTTGTAGGATTCGAAGCTGGTTTCTCTTTTACCAAAACTCGCATGTGAAATTATATATTTGCTACTAATATTTAAAAGCAAAATACAGTTTTATTATCTGAACATTTTTCAATGCTGTGTGGATCATGTATAATAAATGTCAAGCGTCAGACAGTGGATATTTTAATTCTTAGCGAAATCTTCAGATAATATAGCTCTAATAAAACATTTTTATACAAAAAATACTTAACGATTATAATTATAGAACGTTGTTATTAAATTTTGTTAGCTTAAGTTATTGCCAGATTTATCACCGTTAAAAAAAGACGGACTATTTTATTTAAAGCATATTTTTACATCAATGTCAGTGACATAGACTGTTTCCCAGCGCCACTTTATAAACATCACTGTTAATTAGGACCCAACAGGGAATAGTCGAGTTGGAAATCCTAGCCAGACATTAGAGTGATTTCTAATTAGTTATTAAATATTTATAATGGTTTTATATGGAGTGATCCATAAAAAATGTTTCTAAATAAGAAGTAGTTCTTTTTCTTTTTAAGTGTCAGTTTGGATTCAATTTATTTCTGTCTTTGTCAGTCGTAGCCCCCTTTAGAAACATTTTTTGTGAATGACTATTTTATTATGTACAGTAAGGTTTGAAAAACAAATTGCAATTCTTTAATTTCAACTCACAATAATAAAATTGAAGGTATGGTTTTTAAACAGTAAGCAAAATGATGCATAAAATCAAATAAAAACGTAACTTTTTAATTTAATAAATTTTTGGTATTTGTTTTTGTTGGACAACATAAATATTTGCTTTCTGTTGTTTTATAAGGTAAAAAAAAAGTTGTATTTGTAGTACAAATCTAGTGTTTTTTCTTATTTGCCTTTATATTGTATATACGAGGATTGAGCGTCTTTGAAAAAGGTATCGAGGTAAAAAAGAACATTTTCTTGATAGGTTTGTTACCATGAACGAATCAAGGGTCCACCACTACAATTCTGAAACAAAAATGTCAAAAGTAAAGAACGAAAAGATAGGGAGGTCTCATCCATCTCCAAAATTCAAAATGGTCCCATCAGTTTTGGGATTTTGAAAGGGTAATTTTGATTGACTATTTACAAAAGAGAGCTAGCACAATTAATTTCTAAACTACGTTATGCGATAAAAGAAAATTGTCATAGAAAATTCCGTAAATGGGTTCATGGACATGGAAGATGAAACTTAGTTTATTCTTAGCTAATTTTTAATAGGTTTGTTCCGACAGCTCGATTCTGATGTGTTTCTGACTCGTGCATAGATGTATTCGTAAACAAACCACTGCGCATGTCCGTCCGGTTATTCGTCCGTTGCTTTATCAGCGACTTGTACTTGTTGGACATAAAAATGTACAAGAAACTCAAAAAAGAGTACAATGAAAAATTAAAATAAAAAAACTATGAATATATTACTGGAGCAGATAATAAAGCCAAGACTTATTGTCAATTTCGAACGAAACAATTTAAAAGGGAATTTAGTAACTCCAGATTTAAAACTAAATAGAATAAAAAAAAATATGTAATATAGCTGACAATATGATACAGTTTCTTCATTCCTAATGTTTCAAATAATGTACTTGTAAGTTTTAAAACTTTTCCTATGCCTTTTAACTCACTTTTCTTGGGGCCCTGTTATTGAATATGAAGTTTTTGACGCAATTAATTTTTTAAAAAATTCTAAATATATTGACACTCATGAACTTAATAGTAAAATTTTAATAGAAACTTGTAGTATTATAATAAAACTATTTACTGAACTGGTTAATTTAATTTTATCCACTAGTATATTCCTGAAGTATTTACTCTAAAGTATTATCACTTTTTAAAAAAGATGATGGTTTGAAAATTGATAACTATCGTCCCATAAGTATTGTTTTAATATTTGAGAAAGTGATTGAAAATATTATTTTAAATTAATCAATTTCTATAGCAACTCCCAATATGATTTAAGACTCACTCATTCTAGTATACAGGCAGTGATCCATGTCGTGAGTGATGTAGTCGATGAAATTGAACAGGGAAATAATAGAGCAATAATGCTGTATTATCTGTTCAATCATTTCGACATCTCTCATGACACTCTTCTCGAAAAGCTAAGCTTATGGAGTTAGGGGGACTTCGCTTGATAAATTCATACCTCAGTAATAGACAACAAGTCGTAATTTGTAATGGTGTTTTGTCTGATTTTCAGGGTGTAGGGCAAGCGATTCCACAGGGCTCTGTTCTGAGACCCCTTTTATTTGTTGTTTACGTTAATGATCTAAGCCGTTTTGTGCTACCTAATAATTCAAATTTATTTTCTTATGACCCAACATTCATTTTAAGTTTTTTTTTAATAGATTATAAAGCCCGATGTCTGGTCTTGTACTTCTTTAGTGTGCTATTCATGGAATTGAAAAGTTTGTTTCAACTAAATTGTTAAGCGACCGGTCTGACCATGCAAATAGTAACTAAAAAATGATATACAGAACACTCGGTCTCTAGCCCTATTACATAGACTTGCATTGCAATGGATGCAATTCATAAAGTAAGATTCTAATTAATGTAACATTCACCCTATTCGTCAGATTTGGCTCCTAACGACTAAACTGTTCCCGAAACTGAAAGAACATTTCATGGAAGAAAATGTTCAACTGAGAATGTCAACTGTAAATGAATCGTTTAAAGATAACTTTTCTTTCATGTGGAAAAATAAACTAACTGAAATATTTTTTTTATTATAAATAGTTTAGGAGCGGAGCATAGGATATGTACAATTCTCAAAAATTCATAAAGAAAGAAAATTGCGATTTTCACAGATGGAAATAGCAGAAAATGTTCTAAAGTAGGCGATATTTTTTTTCTCAAGCTTATGTGCTCTTTGTTGTTATTTTTATATTTTTACTACAAATACAATACCGCAAATGGTTGCATTACATTCGCCGTTTACTCTCCATACGTGAATAAAGAAAGAAAAATAAAAAAGACAATGTTAAAGAACAACACTCACGTTAGCAATGGATTAGATTGTATGCAATACATAAAAAAAAACACAATTAGTGCACTCTTTATAATTACCTTATATTACCCATTGCTTTAACGTAATTGCTGACCAAGAATCAAGTCCAAATTTCGTCAATCATCAAAGCACGAACGGGTGAATGCATTTTACAACTAAACCATAAAGCGTCGAAAACACGTCGATAAAATTTCTAAAGGCCATTCAACACTTACAAAATAATATGACAATAACAAAATTGTATAAAAAAAATTTCAATCCGTCTCATTAAACTTTTAGAATATTTCCAACCGTCAACAGTTAAAATCACAAAATCAAAAAAATACAGAATTAAATATTATTTACTGGATACAACACTCTTTATCGCTGTCAGAGTAATTTTTAGATCTGCTGTTGCTCTTTGAAGAACTGGATAAACTTGAATCGGGACTGGCGCTTCCTACAGCGACTTTTTGGGGCCTGGGAAGCTCGTACGAGGACACAGTTTCCTTTTTTAGGTCCTCTCTACTATTCGAATCGTTCGGACCCAATTTTCTGACTGGTAATGGCGAATTTGTTGACTTTTTTCTTCTTTGAGGCACGCTAGGCGGTAGACTCAAAGATTCCTCAACTTTTTGCTTTCTTTCAAATGATTTCTGACGCATAGGTCTTTGAGGAGGTAAATGCACCTTATCTACTTTCGAATATAAGCATTCTAAAGTAGTTGGTCCATTTTTATGACTATAATTATCGTCTGCGTAGGAATTATCAGAAGAGTCGACAAACTTCGAAAAATTATGTGAGGAAATTGATTCATCGACATCTTCAACACCATCACGTTCTGTGACATTTAAATATTCTAAATGGTTTCCATCTGTCGATACATTCGGACTTTTTACTCCCAGGTTTAGAGCCTCAGCAAAAATTACATCTATTTTACCGTTTACAATTTTCAAATCAGAAATACCTGTAAGTTGGTTTACATGATCTAAATCTGCATTATCTTGAGCTTGATGTACATTATTCATATTTCTATCATCTCTAGATTGGTCATCAAGATTTAAGTTTACTTTACATTGAGATTGTTTTACATTATCTTGAGTTTGCTGTACCTTATCTTGATATACACTATTTACATTATCTCTAAATTGACCAATAGAGTTCAAATGTACATCATCTAGAGTTTTTTGTACATTAATTTGACCCTTATGGTCATTATCTTGTTCTTTATGGTCATTAGCTTGTCCTTTATGTACATTATCTTGACCTTTATATACAATATCTTGACTTTTATGTACAATATCTTGACCTTTATGTACAATATCTTGACCTTTATGTACATCATTCATGTCAGATATTCCTCTAGATTTCTCAATAAGAGTTAAATTTCCATTATCTTGAATTTGATGTACATTATTCATATTTCTATCATCTCTAGATTGGCCATCAATATTTAAATTTACATTACATTGAGATTGTTTTACATTATCTTGATCTTGAGATACCCTATTTACATTATCTCTAAATTGACCAACAGAGTTCAAATGTACATCATCTAGAGTTTGTTCTACATTAATTTGACCCTTGTCATTATCTTGTTCTTTATGGTTATTAGCTTGTCCTTTATGTACATTATCTTGACCTTTATGTACAATATCTTGACCTATATATACATTATTCATGTCAGATATTCCTCTAGATTGGCCAGTAATATTCATATTTACATTGTCTTGAGAGTCTAGTTCATTTTTCAAATATGAAATTTGACCAACAAGATTCGAATTTACATTATCTTGAGCTCGTTGTAGATTATCTCGATATTGATTATCATTATCCAAATCTGGAATAACTTTTGATTGCTCAATAAGGCCCAAATTGAAATTTTCTCGAGCTTCATCAGTATTATTTAAATCTCGATCAACTCTAAATTGATCAACTTCATTTAAATATGCATTATCATCGATTTTAAATTGATCAACGCGGTCTAAATCGGCATTAACAGCAGGCTGGTAAGTTGTAGATGATACTGATACATTAGCGCACCATCTGTTATCGATCGGATCATTTTTGGCACTTTCGTATTTATCGCCGATTTCGTGAAGTGTGTCCTCTATAAATTTTTCTAAATCTTTGAAAGAATAATCAGAAATCGATTTCTTTCTGCTTAAATCTGTTTGTTTATTAGGGTAAAAAGTGTATTTCGTCTTAGAAGTTGTAGGTTCTTTTGAAATATCGGTTTCTTCGAATTTTTTTATTCTATTCTTGACTGATTTCGGTCTAGGTTTGTATGCCATCTTTAATATATCCTCATCTCGTTTCCTGGGATCCGTATTAGACGGTAAAAAGCTGGTTGAGTTTCTTTTCGGTCTTACTTGAGATGGTTTAATTTCTTCTTCTGGATTCGTTTCGAACTTGCGTAGCATCTTTTTAATATCGACTTTGTCGCATGAGTCTAAATCTACGGATTTTCTAATTTTGATCGATTTTTTGAAGTGAATTTCTGTTTTAGACCTCACTAAACCGTACGTTTTATCCACACCTTCATCGGTGCTATCGCTGCTGCTTTCTTTCGCCATTCGTCTGCCCAAAACTTTGGATTCAAATAAAGATATGTTGTTTTTGGGGATTTTACTAACGATGCTTTCTGATAAATTCGGCGTCTTCAAGAATTTCTCCAAATTACTGTATTTCACGTCGCTGAACGATCTACAAACTTTTCGCTCTGGGGTATCGTGGTCTAGACACTCCATCCAAGACAGTAGATCGTCGATATTTTCAGTATCTTTGTTAAAATCGTCAGTTACGTCAACAGTTTCGGTTTCCAGGGCTTTCAGAAGATCTTCGATGCTGCTGGAAGCTTTTTCTTGTTCGTCTTCCGGTTCTAAATTGAGTTTGTACTTATTCGGATCTATCGGTTTGCTTAGTTCATCCTCGTTTGCCAGCAAGTTTTCTATGTAGTTATCGACGTCTTTTAAATCTTCATCTTCCGGGTCGAAATTAAAATTATAAGTTTCGATTTTCTGGCTAGACGTTTCCGGTAAGCTGTTTTGCTTCACCAAGGGTGGTTTTATTCTAGAAACAGTACTGGATCGCAGTAAATTCTTCTTGGGCGTTACACCGAAATATTTTTCTTTATCTAGTACACCTACGTTCAGAGCTACTTTAGGTTTGGAGACCTCTTTAGGAAGCGCTATTTTTGAAGGCGTTCTTTTGATGATGAGCAACGGTTCGGGTTCGGCGTTCTTAAATCTGGGTACAAATTCAGGATCGTAAGATTTCTTGGGAACTACAAAGTTTCTGTAAGGTTTTTTGGTCAACATATTATCGGTTGTTGAGCTTTTTGAGAGAGGTTGAGGTTTGAGCGATTGATTATTTGAGGAGATAGTTAATTTACCGACCACCACCGGGTTATTTGAACCAATTTTGTTCATGTTTAAGTCCAAATCCCCAGACTCGGCACTGTTATACTCTCCCGATTTCACAGATATATTGTCTAGAGATTTGTTTATGATTTTGTTAAGTAAATAATCACTATTAGGTAATTCTAAGTTTAAAGGTGACTTCACCTCTGTGTCGGTGCCTGTGTCTGTGTGAACGATCGGTGGTTCCACGCAAACTTCTTGTTTTCTCAATTCGCGGGCTCTGATTTCTTCTTCGCCCTCTGTCGCCGTGTCCGATTCGTCATCTATAAAACAAAAATTCATCTTTAGAATCTGAAAGGATATCTCACACATTTAATGGATTTTCCACAATGACAGGATTTATTGAAGTTTTAATATGCTATTGGTGGAAAATCAAAGTAAGCATTTTTTCCATTGCACCATTCTTGTAACTAACTATACAGGGTAATATATTTCAGTTCATTCATACAAGCAAATAGATTAAATAATTTTAAAAAATATCACATTTTAAATTGAATCTCAGCTTGATAGTTTGAAGATAATATATCTTTAAAGGTGCATTTTTTAATTGCACAATTTTTGTAATTATACAGGGTGATATCGAAAATTCAGTTTAAAGTCATTCGAACAAATCCATTAAATTGTTAAAAAATATCATATTTTGTTTTTTTTTTGGAATCTATTTTGTTCAACTGTAAGTGTAAAATCGAAATTATGTCTAATAGGTTTGTTCAAAATTTGATTCAAATTGCTTCATAAACAAAATAGATATTAGCGTGGAACTGGTCTCATTGTCACTCGGTATAATAATATATATCCATGACACGGACTTTAAGCTTTTCTCTTTAAATAATAGGTATTATCCATTTAGTTTCGAACGGAATTGAGATTTTAAACAATTTAAAGTAATTTTTATTTTTCATATAGAAAAGACACATAAAATAAAGTATGTAAAATCAATAACAAATTTCAATCATTATTTTTATTTTAATTAGTATTCATTAATTGTTCTAATAATTAGTCGAATAGTTCTCCATTAACTAATAAAATAGGTGCAGAAAGACCTAGGTCGATAACCTGTTGGGAAACAAATAAATATATTTTATTGTTGTTATATAATTTTCAAATAAAAACTATTTTCAACTTTTCTAAAATTTTACCTATTTTATATGAGGTTGGTACGTAACGTATACCACTTTTTACAGGTAAAACCACATGTATTTTTAACAATTTAATTTATTTACACATTATAAACTGAATTTTCAGTATCACCCTGTATACTTACAAAATGCTTAGTCTGCCTCTCCCAATAGCATATTAAAATTTCAAGTAATTCTGTCAATGTGAAAAACCCATTGAAGGTGTGAGGTAATCTTTAATTCGGAGTTGGTTCAAAACATATACAATCGACATAATGTAACAAATACATTAAAAAGTGGTTTGTACTCCTTATTAAACATAGTAATGAGTAGAACAGTAACAATTTTATTCATCACATCTTTGCAGAACATTCCAAATAGTGAGTGATAGTTCAATATTGGAAAATTTGTACATAAGGAAAAAAGGTACGACGAGTGTACATTTTATTAAGAGAGAATAATAATTGGCATTATTAAGAGTGGTATCCACAAAAAAGTTCAAAAAACAATTAAATTAAAATTAACTTGGTCCAAAATATATGATCACATAGAAGAAGTCCACTCTCTGTTCTAATATTTATCTTACGAGAATAGATCTAATTGTCGTTTAAGTTGTTAGTTAAGGAATTGGACCTATTACCCGAGAATAACAACCACAGAGAAACGAAAAGTCGTTCCCGCAAAAAAAAAATTAAGTGGGGGGGGGGGTTAAACCGGTCAACTGTCATTTCAATTCGCTTGTCACATAGATAACTTTCCAGATTAACTTTTTTAGTCGTGATTCTTCCTATTTGCCGATTCGTTTTGTTTGAGTTAAAAATATATTTTATTTTTATAAAAAAAAACTGACAATCCACTTTTCCCGTTAGGTATTCGACAATGCTCTAGTTCAGTGATGATGTAATTATGGTTCCACTGACAATTAAAGTGACAGTAGATTTTTTGAGTGCATTTTGTTCATTTTGTTTACCTAAATTATATCGTTTTTTTCACTTTTATAAATATATCCCTAAAGTAAGTAGATAGCATGTATCAAATATACAATCGTTTAGTTGCCAATTACATACCTTTAAACTATTTTTGATGACCTGTAAACAATATTTTGAAATAAAATAAAAACAGTAAAACGTATATGTCAAATTTATTGATGTTTTTGTTAAAAGTTTGGTTAGAATTAAATGTCAGTGGAACCAAAATGACATCAAACTGAACTAGCGCATTTCACATTACTTTTGCTAGAAAAAAAGCGCGGGACTTTTGAATCAACCTATTTTTTACCTCTCTCTTATCCTCGCCTTATAACTATGACGATTACCCTCTATCAACGTTACTTTAAACAACTGTGACTAGTCTATATAGTAGGGGAGCCCGTGACACTTTTTTGATACACATTTGCACAAGTAAGATTTGCGCATGAGTAATAAATAGATATCAATAATAACGGGAAAGCATGTTTTTATTTTTGTTTTTAGAAAAATTAAATTAAAAGTGACAGAAACATGATAGAAACTACTGTAATAAAAATCAATATTTTATAGGGACCGTGCGTGATGACTTTAACGCCAACTGGTAACAAAATTGTAAACTTTATGGGGGGGATTTATTAAAGTTTTATGTCATTTATTGTTTAGTAATTATTAATTAAATATTTTCGTAATATCATTATCGAAAAAACTTGTTGCATCCGTGGATGTACATCGATTGATTCGTTAGTAATTTTTTTTTACAAATTTCCACAGAGCACACTTGGTGCCTCACACCCAATGATATATACATTTTCATAGATTACTTATCCATTTGTGAATCAGACGACAAAAAGCTTATTTCATTGAGTGAAGTTTTTTTTTTTAGGGAGCGTAAGTATTACGTAACGAATTTGGGGGGAGGGGGGTTTTGTAAAACGTTACGATGCGTTACATAGGCGGGAGGGGGGGGGGGGGGGGGGGGGATTTGAACTACGCGTTACGTAACTTTATTATTTTTTAACCCTTCAGAAAAGTCTCGTAGAGAGATTCTCTCATGCATTTTTTAAAACGTTTTTTTTTTTCTCTTAAATTTCAAATGGAGTGACATAATTGTGATTTTTAGGTAAAAATAGTCACTTGGTGGTTACGTAACGTTTTACTAGGAGAGGGGGAGGGGTACAGAAAAACGTTACGACTCGTTACATGGGGGGAGGGGGGTTAAAAATATCCAAAAATTGCGTTACGTAATACTTGAACGCTCCCTTATCTAATACATGTTTTGTATCAATTTTGAGCATAAGAACCGGTTTATCAATTAAAATCTTTACTGTTTTCTTGTTATTAAGATTTTTACATATTTAAATGTACATTTTATATAAATATAATTGTACAGATAATTAAATTAATGGTTTATTTTTTAATTAAAAATAATGTAGGGGGTTACTATGAAATTAGAATGTCCAATTTAACAAAAATATCATGGTCCTATTTACTATTTATTAACTAATAATCATTTATCACTAAAATAAAAAAAACATAATTAAGACATTGCAATTACTGTAAAAAAAGATATAAACAAACTTTAAAATATTAAAAATCTAATGATTTTTTGTAAAATGTTAGTAACATTACCCAGAATAATAGAAGTGTCCAATAACATCTCATACCAAAGTTGTTTATATCTCATATCAAAGTTAATTACATTACCTTTTCAAAGTTGTATTACATATTGCAATTATTTGTTTTATATAGTGTTATTTCTGGAAACGAGAGTGGTCTAAAATTATTTACATCTATCTGTTAAAAAAATTGTTTAGATCTCTAACTACATGGAAACTCAACTTTCAAAATACATAACATAGTGTCTTGAAGTAAAATTTAAATTATTTTCTTTTTCTAAAGATTAAAATGCTAAAATTTTATTTTAAAACACATTCGGGCTAGAATGGCTCTATTTACTGGGCACTGGGAACGGCAAATTAGCAGAGCGCGTTGTAACCCGCATCGTAATCTTATTTACAGATGGGTGAGCAATCTATATAATTATGTATATCATTGGGTGTCTCATAAACGTCTAAAGTGGATGAATGACATTTCAACTAGCAAGCTAAAAACAATATTTTTATTATTCTCAATCTTATTTATTAATTTACATTTTTTAAATGTTATTGTAATACTTTTAAATTCAGTGTTACTAAATATCGATATTTTGACATTTTAAATGTTGGATACACTTGCTTAAGATACAAAATTACAATTTATTGTCACTTAGCCATTTAAATCTATTTCCTCAAAATTTATATACATGTCCAGATTTTAATAATTTTTCACAATTTATATTGTTTGTTACCTATATTTAATATTTAAAAAAATCCTTTATTAATTTACTTGCAATGTTTACCCCATTTAATTCTAAAATTAAAGACTAGAGAGGGCTAATTTCGGCAGTAGTGCTCTATATTTCACACACGGTTGCTAATATATAAATTTTATGCACAGGGTCCTAGCAAAAGGGAGAGTTGATACAGTTATGGCATTAAAGAAACCAAATGGGAGCTTCACGGAGAGTGAGAAGGAAAGAGAGGCCACTGTAGTGGCCAAGCACATATGCAGCAGAAATCGGTTAAGGTGGGCCGTAAACACTTTTGAACCGTTTAAGTCTCCAGGTGTGGATGGAATATTTCCAGCCCTGCTTCAGCAGGCACAGGAGGAATTACTACCATACATAATCCGGCTATCCCGGAGCAGTCTGGAGCTGGGATATATACCAGAAGCATGGAGAAGGGCCAGAGTCACCTTTATTTCAAAAGTAGGGAAAAAGGATAACACACATCCTAAATCTTTCCGTCCAATCAGCCTCACATCCTTTGTATTAAAAACAATGGAGAAGGCTGTTGATAATTATATCAGAACAGAAGTCCTGGAGAGGGTGCCACTCCACCACAGCCAACACGCGTACCGAGCAGGAAGATCTACAGAAACTGCCCTGGTACAGTTGACTGATGTAATCCAGGATGCACTGACAAACAAAGAAACGGTCGTGTGTGCCTTCCTAGACATAGAAGGAGCTTTTGACAACACGCCACACGAATCTGTAAAAAGAGCACTTGCATACAGAGGAGTAGATAACATCACATCCAGATGGATAGCTCAGCTGTTATCTACGAGAACTGCAGAGACACAGATAGGGCAGGACACCATCTCCATCTGCACAACCAGAGGATGTCCACAAGAAGGAGTTATATCCCCACTAATGTGGAGCCTAATCGTAGACGAACTTCTGTACAGATTGACTGACCTCGGCATACCCTGTCAAGGTTATGCCGACGACATAGTCATATTTGCTAGTGGCAAGTTTAGTAATATCCTGTGTGATATAGTCCAACGAGGACTAGAACATACCAAAAGATGGTGCCGTGAAGTGGGACTTAGTATAAACCCTACAAAAACAACACTAGTAGTCTTTTCAAGGAAAAGAAAACTTAATCTCAAAACCGTTAAATTAGATGGGATATATATAGAATGGAAAAATGAAGTCAAATATCTAGGCCTAACCCTCGACAACAAACTTCTCTGGAACACACATGGGAAGGAAGTAGTAAATAAGGCCACAAAAGCCCTAATGGTATGCAGTAACATTGCAGGTAAACGATGGAGATGTAACCCAAACATACTGCGATGGATGTATACTGCAATAGTGAGACCAATCATCACTTACGGGGGCTATAGCCTGGAGTAATAGAACTAGTTTAGTTACTACGAGAGCTAATATCTCAAAAGTACAAAGATTAGTCTGTGTTTGCATTACTGGTGCAATGAGAACCTGTCCTACGGCCGCAATGGAGGTGATCTTAAACCTCACCCCTCTACATTTGATGATAGAGAATGTGGCAAAAAGGACACGATATAGAATGATCAGGAACGGAATAATCAGACGAAAGTCTACTTGCTTCAGGACTAAAGATACCTGGGACATGCCCCAGGATGAAATGCAAAAGAAGTACAGTTTTGTGTAAAACTTCAAAACCACAGAGCTGGGCTGCAAGAAAGAATGGAGCTAAGAATCCATCGCGCTTGCAACCGAAAGACGTGCTATTCAGTGGTATACGGACGGTTCCAAAACCATAGAAGGAACTGGAATAGGAGTGTATGGGCCGAGAACCAAGCACTCCGAAAGCTTGTGAAAATACCCAAGCATCTTCCAGGCGGAAATTCACGCCATCGAGAAGTGTATCCAGTTTAACATCGAGAGAAACTATCATAGACAAGAGATTATCATCATAACCGATAGTCAAGCAGCCATCAAAGCGCTGAGTTCTTACGTAATCAGCTCAAAAATGGTGTGGAGATGCCTAGAACAATTGAATGAGCTAGGCGAGAAAAATAGAGTTTGGGTCCCGGGACATAACGGGGTACAGGGTAACGAGATTGCAGATAGTCTTGCAAGGAAAGGGGCTCAAACACCCTTTGTAGGACCTGAGCCGTTCTGCGGTATCAGCAGTAACATAATATTAGGAGAGATTAAAAAAGAATTGGGTAGTAGAAGAACCGATAATTGGAACAATCTCTTGGGTCTGAGACAGGCCAAGATACTTCTGGGTGAATATAACCAAAAAAGATCGGAAGCCTGCATCTGCCTGAGCAAGAACAGGCTACGTATTGTAACAGGGATCCTTACCGGGCATTGCCGACTAAAAGGACACCTAAGTAAACTGAGAGTAGTAGAGGATAGTGAGTGCAGATTCTGTGAGGAGGAGGACGAAACCTCCATTCATATCCTAACTGAATGTGTAGCACTCCAGAATCCAAGGGCACTATATCTAGGAGGATATCAAATAGAAGAGGGAGATTTACCTAACTTGAAGCCACTTCAAATCCTACACTTCCTTGAGAAAATAGGATTGGAAGGGTCGCTATAGGCATTGAGACATTTCCTTAGTGCAGTGGCGATAGAAGGGGGCACAATAGATCTTTTAGGTCGCAGTGTATTAACACCCCATTCTCAACATAACATAAGGTAAAATATTATTTTCAATATTTTTCTCAGTGTATAGCATTTATTTTGCTCCAATATTTTTTCTCGGTGTTTTATACCGGCCATCTGTCTCATAAGTCAAATTCAAGGTCACAAAAATTTTTCTCCGAACTTCAAAGGACTGACAGTTATTGTCGCTTCTCTGTGGTTGTTATTCACGGCTATTACTAAGAAATGTACTCGTACTAACCTTAGTTATGTAAACGAAGGGTTAATTTTGTTGATTATCTTAAAGATAAAAATGATTTATCATAAGATTTTCTATTTCTGTAGTTGTAAATTTATTTGTTTGTTGAATTCCTATTTTTTAACCGACTTCAAAAAAGGAGGAGGTTATCAATTCCTCGCGATATTTTTTTTTTATGTATGTTCAGCAATTATTCTTTAACACGGTGTCCGATTTCAATGATTCTTTTTTTGTTAGAAAGGGAGTATTTCAGGGGTGGTCCCATATAAATTTAGTCAAAATCTAATAATTGGGTCCATGAGAAAATCCTCATCTTCATTTTTTATGTATGTTCAGCGATAGTTTTTTAACACGATGTCCGATTTCAATAATTATTTTTTTGTTAGAAAGGGGCTACTTTAGGGGTGGTCCCATATAAATTTGGTCAAAATCTAATAATTGGATTCATAAGAAAATCCTCAAACTCTTCATTTTTTATGTATGTTTAGCGATAATGTTTTACCACCTTGTCCGATTTTTACGATTCTTTTTTTGTTAGTAAGGGGGTCCCTCGGGGGTGGTCCCATATAAATTTGGTTAAGATGTGGTGATGGCATCGGCACGTTTTTGAAGTCGGTTTTTTTAAATTTTTAATTTGTAATACTTGTTTATCTATTTGACCACTTATCCTACACCCAATGTAACCGCCATATAAGGTCTCTTTAAGAGACAGACGGGTTTTAATAATGGAATTACAGAAAGTATGGGTCTAAAGTTAACAACATGGACACTCAAGGAATATTTCAACCTTAGTTTACTATACCAGACAGTTTAAACACACTTGCAAAGCTCTGGCGTGCCTAGTGCTAAGGACAAAGTTGTCAAAGTTGCCAAAACCACTCAACTATGCCACTAACGCCGGGTTGTACAATAGGCAGTTAAAATGTAAACTTAGTTTAAACTCTGAACCTCGTTGTATAATCATCAATTATTGTTAAACAGTTTTAAAAATGACATTTGTACTTTGAATATAACCAGTTAAAAATTAAACTCCTGTTAGCTAAACTGAGTGTACAGCATCTTTGTACAACCCCACTAAGGGTGTTACTTTTTGTTCTTATTTATATGGTTTCGTCAGAAATTACCAGTTACATTGGATAACAGGGGTGGTTTAGATAACCTCATTGTACCATTTGGTAATAGTGGTAGCATATATCAAGGTAGTAAGAGCGCTTTGATAGGCAAATAAAAAAAATGTATGCGTTGGTTATACAGAGCCTAAAACAAAAATTGATATTTGTCTGGGTTAACTATATTAAAGATTTGGGTTAAGGCTGGTAGAAATTGCAATATATACATATTTTCCTTAAAATAATGCAATATCTGACATTTACAAACTAGTGCTATGATCTGTACGAGATGCAATGATATTGACCCTTAAATAAATATATTTGTTAAGATCCGCACAATTGTAACTAATTTTTTCTAGGCGGTAATCATTCAACACATAGACGAAACTAAAATAACACGTTTATGACAATTCACACAATAGATAAAGAGATTCTGTAAGTTCATTATTGTGTTGCTGAACAAGCACAAAAATACGAGTGAATATGTCTTTTTGTGTTTCCTCCTGGATTCACGTAATTTTTTTTATTTTTCCGTTCTTTTACAAAATCTCCCTAAACAAATACCTACGTTTTCTAAATGATGTAAATCTTAGCCTCATAAAACGTGTAACCGACATCAGCTTTCTAATTACTGTCAAAAAAAGAATATTGCTTTATTGTTTGTTTCTTATTTAAATGTGTAAGGATATCAGTCAGCTAAAATTTATGACAATGATATGGAAATTAACACTTTAAAAGAAATATTTTAAGGCGCTAGATAGATAGATGTGTTTTAAAAATATTTTTAAATAATGCGATGTATTTTTTATAAGTCATATAAATATTAATCAATTTTTAAATTAGTTAATTACTATCAAAATGGAATTATATTTTTTGAAATGGTTATAAATTACAAAATATTTCCTTAAAAGTTGTATGTGCTAAAGGAAAAAATTAAGGAACTAGTTCCATTAACATTTTTGAAATTGAAAATGTATGTAATGTATGTTTTTAATTTATTTCATAAAACATTTCGTAAACTAATAAATACTAATAAATAATATTATCGTTAATACTCACCATCTGAACTGTCATAATAACTAGACTGATCGCTACTGCTGCTGGCGTACTCAGCAGAATCGGAGTTTCTTCTTTGCGAATAACTGTTTTTCCATCGTTCCGCCCATTTTAGAGTACCTTCTTTGGTCGCAGGCTCTTCTAAAGCATCACCGTACGCTTCTTCATCGTCGCTATCGCTCTCACTAAAACAAACGGAAACATAATGAATTTTGAACACACTAAATAATGTAAATATTAGTTCTGTAATTTTAGATCTTAAAAATATTATTTTAGTAAAAAAGCTGTAAACCACTGAAGTGCATGCAAACACAATTGATTATTGGCTCCAATCTTTCTTGCAATACAGCTCTATGATTATGATGTCAGTCTGATTACTCCGTTCCTGATCATTCTATATCTTGTCTTTTTTGTCACATTTTTTGCCGATCTAAGATCACCTTAATTGCAGCCATAGAAAAGGGTTATCATTGCATCGGTGATGCAAACACAAGCTAAGCCTTTGTACTTTTGGAGATATTAGCTCTCGTAGTAGCTAGACTAGTTCTGTTATCCCAAGCTACAACCCCTAAATAATGATTAGTATTTCTAAAAGATCAACTGCCAAGTAATTTAAATATACCGAACGTTAGATTAACCATCCTGATTTCAGAACTTAAAAAAAACCGCTCTGTTGGACCAGTGAAAAAATGCCTAAAATATTATACATCGGTTGGTTCACATTATAAACATCTGTTTCACAAGCAGTAAAATATATTTTTCCACACCAATCACAGTTTATCTTTTGGTTACCGGGCGACTATTTTTTTTTTTAATTTTAAATAAGTGACAATTCTGACAAATTAATTGTCAGTATATTTTTTTGTTATTGAGATTAAATGTACATTAAAATGAGTTATTCGTGTGTAGAATCGATAAATAATATGAAATCAATTTAATTACCAGAATTAATACTAAAATATTGCGTGGCGATGGAGCAGGGACTAGGTTCCGGGTTCAATTCTAGGATTGGAGACTAATTAAATTAAATTAAATCTTTTTTTTCAAGTAAATTATTTTTAAGACCCAACTAAACTCTTTTCACGATTTTTTAGGTTAGAAAACTTCGCATTATTTGAAGTAATACAAGACGTCACTTTAAGTGCCTATCTCATAATATCAACAAATACGTAACATGACGAGTTTAATAAAACATATGTCTGGAATTGGTACAGTTGCAAAGGTCTGGTTATCACCACCTTAGATAGCGCCACCTCATAACAGTACATTTTTAAATCTAACAAACGTTTCCTGAAGTAATTAGGCAAATATAAAAGACTGTAGCCATATTCGAGCGGTCAACTGATTTAAATATATTTCATGCGGTTTGAAAACGGTTTGAACTATTCCCATTCGAGCAATCAAATAATGACGTCACGTTGTTAAACTAGTTGAATCTGTTTTTTAAACGTTTCATTCAGAATGGTTCAAGGAAATAGAAATGTCATTAATGCCAAAATAGTAACGAATATCATAGAGCATAGAATACACAATAAAATTGATAAATAAAAGATTATTTATATTATGATTATGAGAAAAAATAGAAAATGCATAATAGGTCTTTTCCTTTGCATCGAAAGTGTAGCACTGAGCTACACAACTTCTGAAAATATCGTTCCATTTATACAAATTGTATGGATGGAACAATATTTTCAGAAGTGACGTAGCTCAGTGCTACACTGTCGATGCAAAGGAAAAGACCTATTTTAAATAAGTTGTTTATGATGTCATTTGCTATAATTCTTGTCTCATACATAATTTCTCTAAACTGGACCGTATTCGAGATATTTGAGTAAAAAAGCAAATTTTAAATTTTGAAAATAACTCAAAAACGGATTAAGAGAAAAACACCAAATCTTAAATTTAAGCTTTAATCCATCTTCCGGTGAAAAAAAAATTAAAATTTGGGCATGGAGCATCTGAAGGCGTATGTATTCGCGATTCAAATTAATTTTTGCGCGCCTGTCATTTGTCACCTATAAGTAGGCTGTTTGTTTATTTACATGTGTTTGTTTTGGGTGGATTTTGTATTTGTGATTTTTTTAAGTTTTTAGATAATATTCTCATTGTAATAGTGTTTTTGAGTTTCATTTAGTGTTAATTTAAGTTTAAGTCTCGTCATAAATATAATATTTATCATGTGTATGACTTAATATGTTGGAAATATTCACCTATTGGTTGCTAAAAGAACATCTAGAAATATGTATTTACTAAACCCAAGGTATGTTTTATTATGTGGTTTAAAGGACATTCCAGGTACCAAACGTTTATTATTGATGAACTTATTTAAAAATCTTACTAGACTTATTCTTATATTATGAAGTGAATTATGTAGTACTTTGTATACATTATACATGTAAATGGTAATAAAACCGTCACAAATCAGATTACAGTTTGATTCTAAACAAAGTTTTGCAAAATTTCAATAATGTGAATTTGTAGATATCCATTTATCGTAAAAACAAAATTTTACGACTTACACTTGGAAAATAATGAATACTTCAGTTTTGATTTTGACATTAACACCATATAGATTGCAATTTGCTAGGGACTTTTTCGCAGATTTAATTTTTAATATAAACACTGTCACATACTATAAGAAATAAACAAATTTAAATCTAAAAAGTAAGAAAAAACTCGAATTGTAATTGATACAAATTAAAATGTAAACGATGAACATGAACGCCAATGTTGCTAAATGATGAACTGATTTTAAAACAAAATAATAAATGAACTGAACTTTAAAAAAAATCCGTATAAATAAATATAAAGTATAATTACATACTAGACACAAATTTTGATTCTTAAATAAAAGGTCTTATCCACTTCTTCAAGAGCTAATATCTGACGACGTAGCGAAATTTTGCTACTTCTGGAAACACTGAACGATATCCTACTTATAGGGACCTTCTACAAATTTCCTCCAGAGGGCGTATCACTTAGCTTGAATCGCGAATAGGGGTTCGTTTTTCTACTTCATGAATATATCTGTTATTTACACTTGGAGAAGAAAATGTTGCAAATAAAAGTTGCTTGTAATGTTTCCTTCAGGTGCTATTTTAATAAGTATTAGGTCGTTTAGGTGCTCTTTTGATGCATGCTATTTCGTGACAGTACCATAATTCGCTAATAGAATCTATGCTTGGGTACTGTATTATTAGCTGGAGAGGTACTTTTACCACAGCACTACAAAAATATACAAACCACCCAAAACACACTTCTGAAAATAATACTATATGCAAAAAGACTTTTTAAATGATGAACTTTACCAAGAAACCAAATTATTCAATATCAGACAGATATGTTCTTATCAATGTCTCTTAAAAATGAATTTTGGAAAATAGCACTTTCCAAAAACCTTTGAAATACTAGAACTGCAACTAACCTAAATTTAAACATTAATCTGTTTGATAAATAACCCAAAGAAGTTTTTTCTAATGCCCTGAAGATTTTTAATTTACTTCCTATAAGAATAAAACAAATTTCCAAACCATTTTAATTTAAAACTGAAGTTATAAAATGCTAATTCAAGGAAATCCTGATGTTTTGAAAATATTTTAAAATTGTTTCCTTAAGAAAATTTATTTATAACACAATTAGTTCTCCGAGCTTTCTAGTTTTGCTCCTTTCCGGCTCTCAAAATAAACAATATACCGATATTAGTTTTATTTGTGTCGTTTACATTATATATCTTTTCTCTTTTTTATATGGTCATTTTGGAGGACTACGAAAAAACTGACACTAGTGTCTAGGTCATTCCGCCTCCAAAGAAGTTATCTTTATCTACTTTAATTATAATATAATAAAAATAAAATATGAATTTTGAAATTTGTTAAATTTAATTGAAACTTATTTTTATGTTGTAGTAGTTCAAATACACCACTGATAAAACTCATTATTTCGTTCCGTTCATTCCAAAAACAGAAAACATAATTAGTAAAAGTATTTTGTTTAGAATTTCTGCTAAGGACAAATGTAGATTCGGTAATATTGGATCGCAAATTACTATTATTTCTATATGTACCTTAAACTGGAGGAATCCTCGTCTGTATCGTCGAATTCCGCGCAAGAACCTCCAAAGTTTTTGTCCGTCCACTCGTCTTCGTCCATTTGGTTGATCGAATCTTCTTGATCGGAGGAAATGTTACCGGTAGACAAATTGGAAAATTCGATTCGTTCCGGCGTTTGCACTGTAAAAGAACAAGAAAAAAAAAATACTAATTAAAACGCATCAGCCGTGATTCAACCTTAAATAATTATTAATTGAATTATCGTAATAGCACGAATAATTGTAGATTTGTCATTTGTATTTCCTTAATGCATTCAATAAATGGAAATTCTAATTGAAGTTCGATATAAAAATTTTCTCGGTATTATGAATAATGTTATCTTAATTTTCATGCCATAAATGTAGACAGAGTTTAGGTGGTACAAAGTCGTTTTATGGGAGTTCTGTAATTGGTATGTAATGTTGTGTGGTTATTAATAAACAAGGTGATATTGAAATACATGATGTGAAGAGTGTATGAGGTTCAGAAAAAAACAGTTAAAATTCTAAAGTATAAAATAAGCCAATTTTCCCCTTTTTCTATGCTTGTTTATTAAACCAACCTATACGTTGCGCTGTTACCGAATTGTTACAAAATTAATGAGAAATATTATTTTTTAAATAGCGAATACTCTGTTAATTACTGAAACTTACTAAACAAAAAAATCTGTAGTAAAACATAAATCTATTTTAGCATATATTTATCGGAAATAAATATAATGCCTATTTAAGATAGAAAATACACTAAAATAGTTGTTTTAACTAAATGTAATTTGTTATTAATAATAACAATATTGTTCCTCTTTGTAACAACTAATAGTACTCTAGAAATTAAGGTTCTGCTATTCAACAATGACATTGGTAGTATTTTCAAATATCCCAAGTTTGTACTTTTTGACTCACGGCCTTAAAACCTTATTATGTGTAGGTAAATAATTTCCAAATTGATGTCCAAGTGGTTTCATTGCTGCACTAGAATTTATAGATGGACAATAGCAAATCCGTAACTGTAAAGTACTAAAACCCAACGCACCCGGGCCTGATTTTTTTATTATTTTCTTAAATATTTTGTTGCGTTTCTCTAGGAAATATCATCGCTTTCTATTTCCACGTCTTTTGTTCGTCGGATTTAAATTGTTGAAAGACAAACTTGAACTCTGGGGACATTCCGCAAACCACATGTTGCACTTTAGGGCTGTTCGTCGTTACGTGAAAGTTAAGTGGGACTGTTACTAATCTTTCTCTATCTAATGGATTGACTAAATAGAAAAAATAAAGTATAAATACCGCGTTCGAAAGTGAGAACTGGGTTAGAATGCTTCCTGCCTTCCTCAAGTCAAGTTGACAAAAAAGTGTAACATTCAGTTATCTATAAGGTGACTCCTTTCTATATATTCTTCCAGTATAATGAAAGTTTATCTCGTTAACTATAAGGTTATAATTTGGAAAACGCAGTAAAAAATTCGAAGGAGCAGATAAATTATTTTCTCTATGAGACGACTTCTGTTGAGATTTACACTGTTACCTTTAAGGTGACTTCTTTCGTTATATTTTTTGTATATCGAGAGGTAGTTATTTGTTACCTATCAGAACGGAAGTTTTAAAAAAGCTTAATTTTCTTTCCTCTAGTGGTTTTGTAGGATTGCATATCCGAGTTATTGACTTGCCTTGGCGAGACGTTGCCTCTATAGTGACGACGCCGGATTAAGAAATAGCGAGTTCGTCAGTACACCTGATTCAACCTTATAAAATTTGTGGTATACGACTGAAAATATTACGATTGTCGTTATACTTTTGTCGGCGATATCTTCTTTTTTGTTGTGTGGTTCCCAGTCGTAGATTTTAGCGATATTCGTTCTAGAACTCATTTCGAGATCAGCGTTTTTGACGCACACTCCTACCTAGTGTTCTAGCTATCAGTCATTGTATAGTAGTCATGGAGGCAGCCGGGAGTTACTACAGCATAGTTTTATCACAGGTATTTAGAAAATTGTAATTGTTAAGATATACGGATAATATTTTCACTGCATTTTATTTCATGGTGCAATAATTAATAATTAGAATTACGGTCATAAAAATCAATTATTGTAAATCCAGCCACAACAATTAATAAATTAAGCCCTTCCGGTTTAGGACCATAAGAATCGAGTGCCAAAGCCCCTTTATTTCCTGTGGATTTAGGAAACCAATGACCCGCTTCTGGGGGCTATGTATTGTCGTTGTTTGCATTCATTTAGATGGTACAGAGATATTTAAATTTTATTATATTTGTGTTAAGTAAATTACAGTAATGTTTTCTTTCATATTGCATGATGCAAAAACGGGTAAAATCATGTCTTAGTTCTAAACGTTAAGATTTTAGTTTTTTTGTTTTTTTATCTTTTTTTTTTAACGAGTGAAAATATACAGAGCCAGGTAACAATATAATTTTGGTATTGTGTTTAGCTTAATAGATACATTATGCTCATATGTGCATCACTTTAACACATAAGTTATAGAAATCTGGTATAGTTGTTATCCTTTTCGGAAAATGACGTGAAATTGTTGAGGGACTACAACTTGTGGCCTCGGAACTTGTCATTTATAGCAGTGATTTGTCGATGCTAAAAACCATCCATAGTACGTGCGGAACCTCAACAGTAGGGTCTAAAAATGGTATTTTCCCCATGCCTATGGACAGAAAAGCCTAAAAGAGGTAGGATGGATCTTTACTAGATATTCCCCAAAAGTGGGCCTTATCAGGTGTTCTGTTGTCGTTCAAATTATTGTTATATATGCAGTACTGCGCACAATCGTAAAGTACGGTATTGGGATATTAGTGGAAAGGCGTGACGCAAGATGAGTTTAAACTTCTTATTTACATATTCATATCTCGCCATACTCTTCGTGATACCGCTGTACCGATATATCAGACAATACATATTCAGATATTCCATTAGCAGTGTGATTACGAATTATAAGGGGATAACAAATATGCCGTAGTACTGTCATCATACTTTCGCCCGTTCATGGGAGCTTAATATCTCTCCGGTTAGAAATGAAACATGGAGATGGCCACACACATGTTATGTTAAACAAAACAAACAATGTAAATTTCCCGCAACAAGAAATAAGTTTAAATGAAACTATTCTTAATCCACCGTTGTGTTTACCTTTTTTTCTTTCTCCATTACAGCTACATTGAACTCTAAACGTAGTTTTGGGGTAATACAAAAATCACTTCATGGGGATTTACTAGACGTATTTTAGGCTAAGGTTTTGAATGTTTGAAAAACTAAGTTAGGACTCGGTTTGTCAGGTTACAGTACATTTTGGGATTTGTGACTGTCCATCTTTAAATTCTCATGGTATAAACAAATTTCAATGTTCATTCATGTATGAACGCACCTGAGTCTCTAGTTCAAATTATAAATACGGGCCTAGATTTTTAATTGTGGAAGAAACTTCTTCTACATGTACTATAAATAACACCCTATATAATAAATATCCAAACCTTTCTCTAGTGAATCAACACGAGTGACGCCGGCCATAGCTCTTTTTTCTGGACTTCTCCTGTTCTCAGATTGTCGCTTAACTGACGGCTTCCTTATCACTTTGGCAATTGGTATTTCTCCGGCCATTCCGAAGTGTTGTAGGCAAAAGAATCGGTAACCGTATAGCCCGTCGCGATCGAACGCGTACGATCCCAAACGCAACTGAATGTGACAGTATTGACATCTGAAAATATAAGGTTTTTATTATTTTTGACTGAAAGTTCAGTAAACACAGACATGGTGAGTCCACTCGGTATGTTCGTTTTGATCTTTTCGATGATTTAACGTACTTGAAACACGCGTGGTGGAAGAATTTACTCTCAGCCGACAACCTCTCCATCAAATAGACACGTTTATTGCAGAAATGACAAAATTCTGATGCAGCTTGTTTCGGTAGTACCTTGGGTTGTCGACTAATCTACAAAAATAAATAAAAAACATGGTTAATTAAAATTGGTAATCTAAACTAGTGCGACTTATTTGACGTAAAAAATTAAACGTTTAACAAATTTAACAATAGAAATATAAAGTGTGGCAAATCAAATGTCAAGATAACACATTTATTATATGTTTTAATTTATATTCAGAAACTAAAGAAAATGTGCCTAAAATTGAACAGGGTGAAAATTAATACCGAATTGCAGGTAATACATTTTTTTTTTTTTTAATAGATATCAAAAAAACAGAAAATATTTACAAGAAATAAAACAAAATTTTGTATTTAAAGTGTGGGGAGAGATTATATTAATATAATCTTTGTCTTTTTAATACAAATTCATTAAGCACTTTCGACTTTTTAAGCCACCATCATGGGTCCATAAACAAAAATTGTGCAGGTTAAGAACAGGTCACAATAAACATTTTTAAACTTATCAGTCAAAAACAAATCTCAGGAAAACAGAACAATTAAAAACATCAAAATAGTCTAATTTTTGGTGATTGATTTTTTTTAACTGTTTGATTTGGTTTAGTGTTCTGGTGAGACAGTAAAAATTAGTCACCAGACACGAATTCAACCCATTTTCAGTAAACAAAGATGCCGCTTTACTGACAATGGTTGAATTCGTGTTTGGTTTACTTAACTTTTTTGAGAACCACATGTGGATGTGGAAAAATCGAAAAATAAAGAAACAGCAAAAAATAGATATCGTCGGTAAATCCGCAAAACCTTGTATAAGAAGAAAAGTAAATTTCACAAGCAACGAAAAAAATAACTATTTTGTGCTGTTGTTTAGCAAAATTCTGATTATAAAAATGGTGAAATATACTTAACAGAAGTGTGTGAGATGGTTTTAAAAGATTTATAAAATGTATTAATAAATAATTAGATAGGAGGAATCAAATAATGTAAATTTCTCATTTTCGTCAAAATTATCTTTTATGAGGTTTTGTGGATTTACCGACGATATTTTGTGTATTTTCCACCGAAATTTCTGTGGTCGGCGTTTATAGGGCAACATTAGAAATTTAAGCATTACGGGAACTGTCCTGTGACAAATTAGAAATATCATTTTGTCTATAGAGGTTCCCAATTAATGAGTAATTTTAACATTTTTTAGCACAAAAAAACTTATAACGTTTTTACAGAGTGGTTATACCACTGATCTGTATTATTTTACTGGATAGGATATAGGCCATATTTAACATACTAAAAAACCGTTCCACCAAGGAGACCGGAAGTGCAACAATGCTGGCCGATTTGGGCAAATTATGGTGGGTTCACAGAACTGAAATTTGGGATAATTTAACATACCTAACCTATAATTTGATTAGTTTTTCTTCTTATTCTTCTTCTATTCCTTTTACGGGCGATGTCCTTCGGGAAAATTCACCCATGATTTAATTTTTTTATGAAAGAAAATATAAAAATGGAAACGTGAAGCATATTGTGTCTTCAGGAATGAACGTTTATTATTTATTTCATACTCTTTTTACTTTGTTTTCCACAATAAAAACATCTCATCGTAGCTTGTTGACACAATTAAATGACAAATGTGATGACAAATGGAAATAGAGGTTACGTTAAATAACATCCGGTCCGCCATATTATTTGCCCAAATCGGCCAATTTTTCGGAACGTTTTTTAGGAGGCTATATCCTATCCACTAAAATAATACAGATCAGTGGGTTATACCCATGATATTATAAAAAGACGGTATGATATTACGTAGATTGATGGTATAACGTCACGGTGACGTAATGTGGTGGAAGACATGGCTTTTATGAATTTGACGTATTAGCTGATCAAAACAGCGCGAAAATAAATTTTAATCTGCTCGTGGCCAACCATATTCCACACCACAATTCGTCATGCGCGAACTCGACGAGATTTCGTCGGCTAAGTATCATACCCCTTATTTTTGTATCATAGTTATACCTCAGTCCCGAAAGTTTTCAAACGGACGTCATTCAAATAATGTAAATGATATATTTTAAAAGGGATATTGCCCAATACAAATCAAAACGGCTGTGGTAATGCCAATTTATAAAAAAAAAGGCGACAAAAAACAAATGACAAATTATCGACCCTTTTCTCTAATCTCTTGTTTCGCAAAAATTTTTGAAAAACTCATAAAATCCAGACTAACGAAATATCTAGACAAATATAATATTCTATCGTCAAGTCAATTTGGGTTTCGAGAAGGTCTATCCACTAATGATGCTATTACACAAGTTATTGGAGACCTTGGAAAACACAGGAATAAGAAGCATATATGGCATATTCTTAAAAAAAATCGAAATTGATGTCCTTAATGATTTCTGTAAACCAGGATCGTCAATTATGAAGTTTTTTTAATAAAACTACTGTACTAGAGGTACGAATTTATGAAACAAATTATTTCTTATATGATAAAAAAGATATGTCCAAGAAAGTACCCTGAAAATCATTCCCTCACTATGTCCCAACTGCAAAATTCGAAGATAATTATTAACTTAAAACGTAAAATTCCTTACTAATTGTTTGTTATCCTATTTTTTACTTATATAGGATGGTATTGACTGAACCTACATGAGTTCATAGTTTAAAAAATGCGAATGGAAATATTTTTAAACATAATCCAAAATTTGCCCTTGAAAAATCTATTATTCAATCACCGTTTTGAAACAGTCTGATTGGAGCGAAATTAAAAGGTCTACCCTTTAATTTTTTTTGCAGTTGGCAACATTGGCGTCGATAACATACACTAGAGCGGACGGTTGAAGAAAAGATGTTTTGTTAAAACTAATTGAACACGTTTTTTAAAGCCATTTTCGACTTTTTTTGAGAATTAGCCATATCTGAATCTGTTTAAAAGTTACTTATCAAAACAGTTTACATATGTTAAAATATCAAAAACACTAAGTGATCCTAAGCAAATAAAAAATGGAGTTCCACAAGGAACCGTGTTGGGATCTCTGCTATTTTCTTTATATAACAACTATTTTTATTTAACTCGAAAGGAAATATAATAGGCTTTGCTGATGATACAGCAATCTTCTATGAAGCAGATACATGGACAGAACTGAAAAACAGGGCTGAGGAGGACCTCAACACAGTATCTTGCTAATTTAATTATAAAAAAATAACAATAAACTTTTATACAACCTTCTTCGTTCCCTTTACAAGCTTTAAAAATAATCTACCACCTTTCAGGACATTAAAAATAAGTAACGACTCTAACTCTTTTAATATACAATATATAGATAATATAAAATATTTGGGAATAACAATTGATTCACATTTACAATGGGATAAACATACAGTGAGCATCATAAGTCTTACCCCCCTAACTAACTCGTTACTGGAGTCTTGTTAGGAAAATCGCCGAGACAGGTCGATTTTTGTTTTCTACAATGTACATTTTTGTATGATTAGTTTACCCTTAATTTCATCCCTTACTTGAGGGGAACAAACCTTTCGAAAAATTTAAATGGCATGGGGTGGTGAGTGATAGCTCATTTGAAAGGAGTTTTTATTCTCTATTCAACCGTGCAAAAAAAATTAAATTTGCTTCATTTTGTGTTGATTTATTAATGTTTAAAAATAACAAAACCTCACAAAATAGGAAAGCAACTAAACTAATAGTGACCTTCTAATGGCAAAAAGTCTTACTTCACGTCTGAACCAAAACCGAAATCATGCAGGGCCGAATTTTAATTCTAAGGATGAGTGCGCTACGATAATTTCCGTTATTCTGAAACAACAATTAGTCGAGAATTAATGAAGCAAATTTCAAATTTTTTTACATGGTTGAATAGAGAATAAAACCCTCGTTCAAATGAGCTATCACTCACCACCCCATGCCATTTAAATTTTTCGAAAGGGTTGCTCCCCTTCAGTAAGGGATGAAATTAAGAGTAAACTATTCATACAAAAATGTACACTGTAGAAATCAAAAATCGACATGTCTCGGCGATTTTCCTAACAAGACTCCAGTAACGAGTTAGATAGGGGGGGGTAAGACTTATGGTGCTCACGGTATAAATAACGTAACCAAAACCTTATGAATACTTTTACTTAAATTTTGTACTCTACAAAATATTATATATTTGTCTCACATGAGAATTATCTATTACGCAGTATCTTAATGTATCTGTACAAACATTGGCAGAGCATACAATACTTAGGTCATAGCTATTTTGCCAGATATTGAGATAGAAATAAGGCACAGATTCCCTTCATGCAAAAAACTATCGGGCAATGTGAGTTTACGTACCTGCTACCAAAGATATACAATTCCCTGTATAAAATGTACATCACTACGTTAAACTCAAAATCTGTTTAAAAAACTATTTGTTAATAACTGATATAAAATTATACGCATTTCTGGATTTTATCTAAATTTGTATATTATACTAGTCTTGCCGTTCTCTTAATTGTTATAATTATTATTAGTATTATTTACTAATACTACTAATAAAAGTGATTACATCTTCGCTTACATAAAATATTATATAGAATATGTATTTTAAAATATTTGTATAATAGTGTCTTGTTTGCAGTATTTATATTTCATTTTATATTATGTACATTTTCTGCCTAATAATAGCAGGTTACAGATGATGTCCCTATGCATTCATGTTTAATTTTTATTCTTTTTAAGCTTGCCTAATTTTATCTAAATTTGTATAATTGAGTCTAATTTATCTAATTTTGTATGATTTTGTCTAATTTTTCCAATTTTATCTAATTTTGCATAATTTGTCTAATATAGATTTAAATTGCAAACCTATATTGGTCATTAATGGGGTGTACCAGTTTATTTTACATTAATTATTTTCCATATATTGTATGTATAGTATAATAATAATATGTATTATATTATTTTCTATTTTTATAGCCTTTATAAAACTTCATTTGTTGAATAAACTATAATTATATTATAATTATGAAATTTGTTGATAAACAAAAATGTTTAGACTATTTTTATCTTTCAATTCATTGCCAAGTACGGAAGCATCTCCACATCATGGGGCGTCAGAATCCGCACTCTGCAGGGGGGGGGGGGGGGGGGGGACAAGAAGATGAGACCATCGAGCGAATCCTCTAAGATTGCCTGACGCTCTCATTTATTAGAAGGTTTGTGTTCGGCGAGTATCGGATAACACCAGCCGATATAAGAGACGACGTTGTTAACTACATTAAATATGTAGGCTGGCTTACGAGCTAGGAGGTGCCTAGTGAGGCCTAAGTGTCATGCGGTAACTTACCCTCCACACGTTACAGATACAGATTAAATCATGTAGTTATATTGAGTTTAATTTTTTACAAAATCTCATTTTGTGATCAATTATAACAAAAAAGTCGCTGCATTTGCCGAAATCTTCTTATGAGATCTAATTATCTATCAAAGGTTATTGTCTATATCTCACAGATCCTTATATTGACCAGGGGTTGTACTTTGTACAAAGGCTGCAAAAAGTAAATCCTGTCCTTTTATTATTTTGTTTTTATTTACAAATTATAACTTATTTGAAAATTTGTAAATACCGGATGATAGAAAATACATTTAATATTTGGAGGACAACTTGGGTTTCTATGGTTTTTATGGCTACTGGCGAACCAACCTTTAAAAATGTACTAATAGTTTTAAAACTTTTTAAAATTGTTAACATATTACAAGCTACCGTACAATTATTGTTCCTCTTTCCTTGGTCGATGGCGAAGCTTCATATAATCATTTACATCGACATAAGATGTCAATTTGCTAAATTTCGGAACTGAGGTATAACAAATATATAGTGGCCAACAAAAATGCTTCTAAAGTAGACCCTTAATCACTTATGTCAGACCATACAATTCTACATTTTTAAATGACAGTTTGGATATAAGGATATAATCCAGAGGCGTCCATAGTTACCACGGATGCGACTTGTATCACTGTCGTTGTCAGTCATTGCCTACTTTAGAAACGTTTTTTTGGGATCACTCTTTATGTACCGGGTGACAAAGATAACATAGCCATGTTAACAACACTTATACTTAGTAGATATTAACGTGGTTCTAGTCTGATTGTCCCGGTATACAGTGTGTTTCTTAAATTTGGATACAAACAAGAATTTTTTTTAACACTAAAAAAAAAAGTGCTTTTTTAAAACTTAAAAGAGCCCTTAATCAAGTTGACTAGGTACCAGAGCTGGGGAGGATAGGATTCGAATCCTTTTTGAGGATCCGAGAGCGGGATTCAAATACTTTAGAAAAAAAGGATCGGTGATCCGGATTCGCAGAGAAAATCAATATCAGTCTCGGATCCTTTTTGAGACCAAACTACGCCGGCGCGAACGGCCGACTCAAGCTTTGACTTGTCGCGAATTGTAAACTAAAACAGACTGAGACTGAATAGAAAACCGATGTGTTTGGCGTTGTGCACGATTACAGAATTAACGAATAATCTGATATAGATCCTCAATACAGGTAAGTGAAAAAAAATTCTGCATCCACATCCACATGTAGGTATAGTATTTATTTTTCTAATTTTTGCACGATATACAAAATAAATATATGGGCGATATTAGTCTATTGAACGAATATAATATATAATTATATCCATTTTATGTTTTCTATCAATTGCAACCCAGACAGCACACCAAATCCTTTGGATATCTACTTGACATCCCAATATCCACTGAATGTCCAGTCCATGGTGGATATCTATTTTATATCCATGAGATGTAATTTATAGACATGCAAATTACGCCATTGTGCTCGCCATTGTGGCTAATAGTACCGTTCAGATATTTAAAATTAATTTTTTTAAGGTGTATTCAACATCCCATGGACATCTACTAAATATATCAAAGTCTAGGCGCGAACGCAAACCATGATGGATATCCACTAGATGTAATTTTTGATTTTGTAATATAGATTTTGAAATATAGATGGCGATACCACTTTCGCTTGTGCTCATGCTCAACCCGCTGTAATTGAGTTCGATCGAAATTTGTATCCCAATCAGACTCCATTAGAGACTGAAGTCGAGAATTTCCATTTATTGCTGAAGAGTCCTAATAAGGATGACTTTATCCTTAGTGGGCAAAATTAAAGGCACATTGTTGAAATTGTTGAAAATATTTTTTATCTCTGCTATTTTCTTTCGACGTTATTCAATAATCATTGGTTACTTATGAACCTCTACTAAAGATACCCATAAAATATTTTGCTGAATATTCGAATATCTTCTATATCCTGGGATATAGACGGACATTTGGATATCCATATTAGATCCACTGGATACGTTGGATATATCCACAAAATATATTCTGTGGATATCTCTAGGATTTTTTGTATTGTCTGGAAGATACCCATTAGATATTTTGCTGGATATCCATAGGATATCTTCTATATTCTGGATATAGACGGACATTTGGATATCTATATTAGATCCACGGGATAATTCTGATATCCTGTGGATATATTGGATATCCACAAAAGATATTCTGTGGATATCTCTGGGATTTGGTGTGTTGTCTGAGAATTCATTACTTAAAGTCAAGTTTACTATTTTTTTTATTATTTAAAATGAGTTTTAGTTATTAATATAAAATATAATTAAAAATTAGTGATTCTTGTGAAAAATCGATAAATAACAGCAATCAACTAGAGTTTTTTTATATTTACAAGGAAACTTAAGTAAAGTTTAAACAATTTTTATACTTATACGAGTATGTAGTCAGTAGAGTGCGTCACTTAGGTAATCGCCTATACGCTAAATGTGACAGCCAGCTTCGCTTTTCAGCTTCAAGTTTTAAATGTTTTTATTTATTTATTTATTTACGGGTCAAAACTCATTTTACTGAATTGGATAACAAAGTTCCTTAACAAATATATGACAATTGGCAGCATTACGAGTTATAAATAATAATATACTACATAAGACAAGTATTGCAAATATTTGAAGCCTAATATTTAAGTTTTTTTTTTAAACTCTCGAGAATTTATAATAATTTGCAACTTAATTACTACTTAGTTTAAATTCAAACTTAATTCTCTTTGATAAAAAGAAATATTGTTGTCATATGTAAAATAAATAAAAAAAATTGAAGCCACTGTTTTATTTTTAATTAGTATTTGTGATTTGTAACCTTTATGTATTTTGCATTAGGTCCAAAAATATATAGTTACGCCATTGACACACGGTGTCTCAAAAAAGTTTTATAGAAATGGGAAAGTTTTATTTTACTTTTTACAAAAAAAAAATTCTTGATAAAAATTCTGCATCGCTTGGAAAATATAGGTGGTATACAGAAAAAATTAAAATAGTAATTTATAATGAAGAGTAAAATACTTTTACATTTCAATATAGAGCAAAATATGAATTAAAACGTTAATAGGAATTAAAAAATATGCTTCAGTTTAAATTATTGCACTTAATATTAATTGACTTTTATTTACTTTATTTAATAATTAATCCAAAACCAATGCTAAAATGTGTATTAGAATTTTTTTAATTTTACAATTTTATTTTTATTATGTATTTCCAAGTGATGCAGAACTTTATATCAGGAATATTTTCTTTGTAAAATGTAAAAATATATTTTTCCCATTTGTATAAAACTTTTTGAAACACACTGTATGTAGGAGTACCTTCGAGTACACCTCTAAAACTTCACACAAATGGCACGCCATACTTATTAATTAATACCACAGTATAACACTGACAGTGATTCGTATCCGTGATCCGAAAAAAAGGATTCGAATCACTTGATTCGAATCCTTTTGTTTTTTGAAAAAGGATTCGAACATTGGATCCGTGATTCGAATCACATCTCGTGATTCGGATTCGTGATTCGAATCAATTTTTCGAGGATTCGTCCCAGCTCTGCTAGGTACTGCATTAGTTATCGAAAATTCGGTATTTTTTTTAATCGTTTAAACATTTTTTTGTTTTTTAAATGCGAATTTCACAAAATTTTGATATGGGCTATTTTAAGTTTTTAAATAAGCAGAAGTGATTGCCATACGACGTTTTTTCCAATCGGAATATTAAAAAAAGTCCCATATGGATCCAACTTTATGGCACACACTGTATAATAAACATATTTTTTTAATATACCATAGAACAATTAAAAACTGTTAATGTACTTACAGTTTTCTCAGGTGGCTTGGGTTCCGGTGGTATCTTACTAACCAGCTTCTCAGTTATCGAGGCCACTTTATTGGTACCCAATTCCCTTACAGTACCTTCTTTTAATTTTTGATCCAGATTCTTTATGTTGCGATCAATGTCCGCAAATTTTACTAAAAAAACAAGATTTTAAAAGTAAAAATAACCCAATTTAGATAATAAAACTGCACTTTATTTATTCTTTTAATTACCATCAGTGCTGACTTGTCTATCTAAATGTTTTTTTTCCATCTTGGTCTGCCTCGCTAAAAATTCCTCTTTGCTCCATTTAGGGACTTTCTCCTTATCAACAGCTTTCGAAGGCTTTCCTAATTTATTCTCCAAAATTTTTTTCTCTATTTCTTTGATATTCCAATCGGACGTTTCGATCTTACCGATAGCCCTCATCAAGTCTTTGGGTTTCTTGTCGACCGGCTGCGGTTGACGCCATTTGTTTTCTAAATGTTTGATTTTGGCCGCAATGTCTTCATCTCTGCTCCCGCCTCGTGATGATTGGTAAGGTTTGTTTTCGTGATCCTGTGAAAGTGTTAAAATCAAATATCACATTTTGGCAATGTTAATGTTTGTTAATAAATCAATTCATATGTATCAACGAACATAATTTTCCAACAAGGTCTAGTAATTTTTTAGTTGCATTAGTTCAAATAAATCAAGCATAACCAACATATAGTAGTAGTAAAAAGTACTTTTCTTAATGTTAGACATATTTTTTTTTTAATTAACTGTGAATTCGATCAGTGGTTCAAATGTACAAGAAGTTAATTTTCATCAAAACAGGTGTAAACTGAAACCCACACTATCGAAATATTAAATATTTTAGTTGCAGTAATTCAAATAAATCACGCATAAAAACAAAATTAGTAGCAGTAATGGATGGGCAATTTTGTAACTGTTAACTCAGTAGTTCAAACGTATCTATGTTAAAAACCTATATTAGATATTCAACTTAAACTTTTGACCCATCATTTTATATAATATAAAGTAACAATGGCTGGTATTGGCGAAATCAAGCTAAGCAGCAGGATACATTTGATAAAATAAGCAGGTATCAGTGTTGCCGTTGTTATTACAATTAAAACAAATCAATTACTTTATCATCTATAAGTATTTAATTAAAGTGGAACTTACAAAATATAATTTTGACCGTCACAATTTCAGTGTCAAAGGTAATAAAATAAATATATTAGGTTTAATTTAATCTTTAAAAAAATATATTTTTAGTTGAATTCCTAATTATGAACATTTTAGTTGTTCAAATGTACAAAAACATAAAAACCTCAGTAACACCAACACAGGGTTTCTTTTGTGCCAACTCGACACGTGACGTATCGAATAGAGAGAATTCCATCTCGACATAATTAAGAATCGCAGTCTTTAGAACGAAGATCGTCGTCTCGATACGTGACGTATCAAAAGTTGACAATCCCACTGCAGGTATTAGAGAGTTATTGCAAGTTCAGTTAAGATCTGTCACTATTAGTGCCGCTCTTGACATCTGAGCATGCGCAGATCACTAACTTTAATAAAGATTGTGCCTGTCCTTAATAAGAGCGTTATTGCAAGTTCACTTAAGGTCAGTCACTATTAGTGCTGCTTTTATTTTGACATCTAAGCATGCGCAGATGTTTATGTTCTAAAACTGACTTTATTAAGGATTGTGCCTGTCCTTAATTGTGGATGTTTAAGGGCAGCAGGTAGTGGCGACTTTATAGCTTTCGGATGCGATCGGCGACATTCGTATCTGTTAGAAGGTTTTTAATATTAAATATTTAATATAATCGTCATTTAAACCTTATAAGGTTAGAAATCAGTATAAGGACGAGGATTCTAATGTCAAAATTTCAGGTTTGCAAAATAAGTCTGATTTTAGCATGGAATTTATTTGACTCTAATTACGATGTCACTATTAGTGGCTGGCTTTATAGAAATTTGCAATATGTCTCTATTAAGGACAGGCACAATCTTTATTAAAGTTAGTGATCTGCGCATGCTCAGATGTCAAAATAAGAGCGGCACTAATAGTGACTGACCTTAAATGAACTTGCAATAACTCTCTATTGTTTAGGTAGAGTAGTATTTCTGAAAGATCAACTGCTATAAGTAGTTCAAATATATCGAACTTTAAATTTAATTGAAACTCATTGTTGGTTGTAGTAGTTCAAATGGATTAATGACGAAAATCATTATACGCCATTTTAGTGATGACGTAATTATGGTTCCACTGACAATTAAAGTGTCAGTAGAAATTTTGAGCGCGTTTTGTTTACCTTAATTATATCGTTTTTTCACTTCTATAAATATATTCCTAAAGTAAGTAGATAACTGTATCAAATATACAATCGTTTAGTTACCAATTACATACCTTTAAACTATTTTTTGTGACCTGCAAACGATATTTAGAAAAAACTTAACACAGTAAAAACGTATATGTCAAATTTATTGATGTTTTTGTTAAAAGTTTGGTTAGAATTAAATGTTAGTGGAACCAACATGACATCAAACTAAACTGGCGTATTTGGTTCCAAAAAAAAAAATAAATGTATTATTAAAAACAATGAAATGTAAAAAATATAGATAATGCAGTGCTTTAGACCTGGATTAAGTTGTTTATAGACTAAATATATCCAGTTTGTTAACACAATAAATAAAAATATAAGTTCTGTGTCAATTTATATATATTATTTCAAGATCTAAATGCACACATACCACTGCAATATGTTACAGGTTTAAATTTAATTTAAAATCCCCCAATCTCAGTTAAATTTGGGTATTAGCATTAAACTACATTTTTACCATCTTCAAACAATATAGAAGGTGTCCCTCGATGCACTGAAAAAGATGACACTTTTTTTATTTTAACTTTTAGAGAACATGTTATTCTTTATTAAAGTTTTTGTTTGTTTTAAAAATAATAATAATAATAATTCATACAGAAGTTTAAATTATTATTATTTTTGAAACAAGTAAAACCCTTTATGAGTAATATTTTTTCGAAAAGGGAAAAATAAAAAAATCCTTTTTCATACATAAAAAAAATATTTTTTAAAAATTTATTGATAGGTCTACAATTTTAGGTTAAATCAAACTCAGAATGGTTTTTTGTTTGGCTTACTGACGTCACATTAATGCAACACAATTTTATTATGAGTTCACTTTTTCTTTTTTCAGGTCAAATCAAGGTACTCATAGCATTGAAGCAGTTCTATTTTATAAGGCCTACTTAAGGAAATTATTTCGAGCGGGTTAATAGAACATTTAGTAACAAAAACAGAAAAAAAATCAACATCGATTTCCACACAAATTCACACACTGCTTACAGGTATATACGTAAATTGTTTCTCTAAATCTTTCACTCTGTCTTCGAATTTAGCGGCCGTTTGTCGATACAAGAATATCGAGTAGTCTTCAAAAGGTTGCGCATCAGGCTTAGCGTTCGCCTGAAGCATTTGCATGCTTTTTAAAAACTGCTCAGTTTGCAATTTTCGTTGATATCTTCTTTTGTTCTGCCTTTCGGCCCGGTTACTAGCGATCTCTTCCAACATTTTCTGACGTTCTTCCTTTACATAGAAATTAAAGGTTATATGTAATCAAAATTTAGGGCTGTTAAGTGATAATGTTACAGCCCTAAACGAGTAAAATTTAAATTTTTAAGCCCTAGGACAATTAAATTGTCAGCCCTAAGTCTGTTATATTGGTAACTTTGAAGTCATAGAGCACTTAATTGGCCATTATTAACAAAGTGAAAAGCTAAGTCCCAGTATCGAAAGCAAGCACCAAAGGGCTGTAAAGTGAATTTTAAAGATTTAAGTACGTAAAGTTGCACCTTTAAAGCCCCAGGACTACATAGGCAGAAGCCATAGGTCGGTTAAATGGTAATTGTAAGCGCCCAGAAACAGTAAACTTTCTTATGGACTTAATTATTAATGGATCTTTTAATATTCAAAATGAAATCGGCCCTTGGACTGTCAAAGTTACAATGTATGTTTAGATGTCAGATGTCAGTATTTTGGAATAATGTATGGATGTGACGATATAAATTGAAATAAATTAGGCCGATTTATGCACTAAAATACTTTTAATTATCCTACTAAGTATTAAATATATAATTTTGTAAGTCATATTGTTCCGAATTTATTATAATATCCATTATAAACAGTAGAATACCAACTACTCCTGCTTCAATAAATCCATTGAAGAACAAATCGAACATCTAGAAACAAAAATGAAAAGGAATCAGGTAAGGAGGGATTGGACATTGTGTTTACCATAGGTTTTAACAAGCGTTAATTATTTTCAATACTCCTTGTCATTGGCTTTTTACCTACATTTAAAACGCAAAGAAATTAATCAGAAAACAGTACTTACTACGCTCGCTCCAACTTTTTCCATAGTCCGTCTTTTTCTTGGCTTCCTGTCGATGCTGCCTGGTTTCTGCGATATTATATCAGAGTGTTTGTGTTTATGCCTGCTAGAGGGCGCGGACGGTTGTGTTTTTTCTTGCTGTTGCATGCTCGCTGTTTTTATCGTCTTAAAGGAGACTTCACTCATTTTCGTACTACCTGGTGGCAATTCCTGCAAAAAATTATATATTTAATTAATATTTTATAAACGGATGATAATACTAATTGAAGTATGTTCGTTCATAAAGAGAATAATCATGAACAGGGCAGAAGGGTTGAAGCAAGCTGAAGATTACAGAGGACTGTTGGGTCTATTCTGTAAAATTTGGTTAAAATTAACCCTAGTTTACAAAAATAACTGACAAAAAAATAAAAATGGCTACATAACAATACATTGCTTTTATATATCATGTAATTCAAAGGGAAATACTCAGAAAGTAAGTTATTTTACCAAACTACATAAATTATTTAATAAGGAAATTTATATTGTCATCTAGTAGAAGATGAGAGATATACAGAAAACGAAGGTTTCAATGTTGGCTATAACCAACTTCCATTTAAAAACAACAGATAACGTGGCAAAAATTGATCAGGGTTACAAGTAAAAGTAGGTACGCTAGTGTAATATTGACAACAATGTTTCTAACATTGAGGATTTTACAAGATTTGTCATAAATTGAAGCTTTCGTTTATTTATCAAATATTATAGTGTTTTTTATTTAGTAGAATGGTAGTAACTATTGCATTTTACTAGTAATTTCGGATAAAATTATGCTGTAATTTTTAAATGATTGTCACCTATTGATCCAGGCAATACTGGAACACCGCTCATTTTTTATCTATAAAAAGTGCAATCGTGCAAAACGTGAACAATACAACTAGAGGCTAATTTTCAATAATAATACTAATTTATTAGTTCATAAAAAATAACAAATTCAAATTAAGTTAATGATAATACGTTTCTAATACTCTAAGTAGTGATGTTTCTTTACAAAAACAAAAAATACTAAACAGTGATTACGCACCAGAGTAATGTAACGATTTCCGACTTATTGCAGTAAATTTATAAACCTTGAAGCGTATACACAATTACATTGTTTGATTATGTTCCCTTTTTTCGTTTAATTATTATTAGGTTTTCTTCGGTTCGGTGTTGCCAGATCTTCTCTATAAATTTACCCAGATCTGGAGAAAAATCCAAGAAAATACAGTGTAGTGGCTCTTACTCGACAAAATTGGTAAATAATAATAAATATATGTTGAAAATTGGGCTCCTAGTTGTGTTTTTCACTTAATTAAACCAGATTTGCACGATTTAATTTCTGACAGGATAAAAATGGATAGCTATTTTTTTAGTTACACCGTGGATAGCACTGAAAGAGTACTGAAAAGTTTTTAGATTTTTTCAGACAGATTACAAACAATATTTAAAAATAACTTTAACTGATAAATATACTGGAATATTAAAATGTCGAACAGATTGTACGTACTGGTTCCTCTCCTTCGACAATCACAGAAAACTGCGTGGGGGGCGCCGAAGTGGACCTCAAATTCGCGCAGTATTGGAACGGCGAGTACTGCGAATATTTCGACAGATTTCGAACAGTCTTGTTTTGGATGTTTTTTAATTTATCTGCGAAATCTTCTTCGGAAGACTTCGTTTGTCTCGAATCGGAAAAATTCACAACGTCCGTTCTTTCTTCGACCACAATGTCGTTGTAACGATCCATTTTTGACACTGAAGTATTATCGTTTTTTAGCGAGTTAGTAGAAATGATATTATAAAAGGAAGGTATATTGCGCAGATTTGTACCACGTGATATACTGTGGTGAGGAGGCGGAGCTTTCAGAGCTTTTAAGGGCCTACAACTGATACAAAGTTTGTTTAAATAATTTTTTTCATTAGTGTTTGGACTGTATCACAATTTTTTTATTATTTAAATTAGAATATAAATATTTATATATAAAGACTTTCTTTCATAGTTATTTTAATTCAATTTAAATAAAATTAAATTGTGCTCCATTTCCACAGGTTTAAATTTTCCACACCACACTACACCATTGCGTAAACTCGACAAGATTTTGTCTGCTAAGTATTATACCTCTTGTTTGTATCATGGAGGTTAGGGTAACAAAAAGAAACAAAATTACGAGAATGTATCCTTTACCTGAAGTGATATCCGTAATTTTACTGTTAGAAATCAACGACCCAGTTTCCGATTTCGCGTTATCCTGGGACATAAAATCGTTAGAAGTGATCCAATTAGACACTCTACTGTAAATTTGATTGGACATCCCGTCCCCTTCGATCATCTTCCGAGTCTGGGACACGACTCGATTCTTGATCCTATCCAAACGATAATCACAATTTGACGGCACGTCAAATGGACATACACGGCTACCCCTACTTTCAAATATATTCGAATATATCCCTATACTGGGCGAATTGGAATTATTGTACAGTTTTGTAGCGGTACGGAAGGATTTTTGTGACATCCTCGCTCGTTTTGAAACGTTTTTCAAAGCGATTTTCGATGAGATAGTTAAATGATCTAAATAGCAAGCATACTCGATCGTCTGTAGCGTCAATTTGTTCAAATTTCTGTTCAATAATCGTATTTTTATCATCTTCTCTATAGAATTAGTCGGTGAGAATTTCTTAATCTTCTTGGGTTTTTCTTGACAAAAATCTCCTGCTTCGTTGACGCTTTTGCTACAAAAATCTTGTTCAACGCTACTGAGACTATAGTGGTTTGTGGCAGTATTGTCGTGTGCTTGACATACTGGTTCTTCAACTGAAGATATGAAAAGGTATTGATTTATATTTGGATGGGTACAAACAATAAAATTAGAGAAGGTAATGTACGTCGAGCTATAGAAATATCCAATTTGGTTTGTTACAAACAATTATACTGGTTGGAAATGCCTGGAATGCTAGTCCAACATATTCCATGATGGGGAGGGGGGTTATTCAGTAGCAGAAAAATAAACAACTCACAAGTAACATTATGACCAAAATTATCTTCTCTATTTTTAGTCCAATCATATGGTGGCATATCACAAGCGACCGTGAAAAAATGAAGAATTTTACAAACTGTTTTCGAGGGAAGTGAACACGAATCTAAACTTTGCTTCCTACAGTTTTTTTGGGGGAAAAAGTTTTAAAGAAGACACTATAAAATTCTCCATTTTTACATATTATATTGTCAATTTTAGTAATACTTTTACCAAAATGTTTATCCTTTTGTCGATTTTCTGAGCTTTGATTAGCGATTTGATCGGAAAAATCCCGTTCATCATTATCATCCGAATTATTAATATCAGTTTGTTCGTTGATAATTTCAACAGTATCAGTTTGATTGCCGCGATTTCTCAAATAAACTTCGTTATCAGTTTGAACGCTATTATTTTTAACACGATAAGTTTCAAGATCTGAATTTTTCAAAATATCAGTTTGGGTTCCTGCGGTAGCGAAATTTTGTTTCAAAATTTCGGACGATTTTCTTTTCAGCAACAATTTTGTTAAAAATACTTTTAGTTTTTGGTGTTTGCTGTAGATCTTTTCGATGCATCTTCTTTGGATGTCCTCTTGGGTTTGTGGGATGGTATGATCAGATTTTTTTCCGAAAAAAGATTGTATTGATGATTTGGGCGAGTCGTATATACATTTATTTTCATTCTGTCGATAATTTGATTGTATTTTGGAAATTGATTTCTTTTTTTCGGCCCTTTTGGAAGGTTTTTTACCTTTTAACCTATTAGATGATTTTTTATACACAATTTCTACATCGTTTTCTTTCATTAAAGTATTATTTGCTTGTGGAATTATTACAGACTGGCATTTATGATTAAAAGCTAATAATTTCTTTTCCATATCATTGGAGTAAAACACCAGCTTAGAGTGGTAAGCATCAAAACATTTTTTACAAGGTATTTCTTTAATATATTGGGATGAAACATGCGACCGAATGCATTGGTTCAGGGGCATGATTTTGGGATTTTTTGAGGGATGTTTCTGAAATTTTAAATAATTTGTATTGGACATTTTAAAATTATTGTGTACTTACCATTTTGGCGTGCTTGATGAAAGGTATTTCACCTCTAAAACAGTCGTATATTTCTGTAAGGTAAGTAGCCAGTGTTAAGTAGTCTTCCGTTATGGTTAGTTCTGACCCGGTCATCACAGGAGGAACGCCTAAAAAATTAAACTTAAAATATTTCCACTATTTATTTTCACATGGTCACCGGTAAAAGTTCGGTATTATACCGTTGCCAGATATAATATAATATAATATATAAATAATACTTACAAAGATCCTTTTCGAGAACATCTATCGCAATTTGATTATTCACAGCAGAATCATTACTATTAATTGCACTATAATCTAAAAGGTCTGGCCTATAGTGATGTATTATTGCACATAAAACTTTGCCGTCCTTGAACACAGAATCCATGTCAGTTATGCAGATTTCCTCTTTGTCTTTGAGCTGATCTTTCAACCAGTTGAGCAACACTTCGTTATCGACATTTCCTGCAACAAAAATTCCTAGATGAGAGTTGTATACTTAACTATGTTTTTTTGTTTAATGTATACCTAATACGTTGAAGTGTAATTTATTTATTGTGAAATAGGGTGACACGAAAATAAGTACATAGGTAAAGAGTACAGGGTAGTTGGTTAATAGTGACCAGCTATGGCAAAAAACCATCACGTGTCAAATCAAAGCAATGAAGCCGACTGGTTTATCTTATAATGTTTTGTTGAGCGAACACCTCCATGTATTTTTAAATTAAATCAATGGGCCTATTTTCAAAATTATCTACAATCGAGAAGAGCGAAAAATAAACTTGTGGGAACTTTGCAAATGGGATGCATTAGTGGTGCCATAAAAACTAGCTAAACAACGTTGCTTATCGACTTAAATATCTAGATTTACCATTATTTCATTTCAGTGATTTCAGGGGCCCTATTCTCGAATGTCTATTAAAAATGTCGCATTCGTCATAATGTCTACTACTAATGTCTATCAAAATGTCGAACGACTGACACTATCCGTATTCTCAAAGACAAATAGACATTTTAAAATCAGTGACATATTTGGCGAATGGTAACATCTGGCAACATTGAATAAAAACATACAATACGAGTAGATTACAGCAGACAATTACTTGAAGAATCTCTTAGTAATACAAAATAATACTGAAAATACATCCAGAATATATATCTTTTTGATAAATACTAATTAGAAAGTAGAGAAAATATAAATATATAATCTTTTTAACTGAAATTTCATGAGGGATTAAATAGAAAATTGGAAGTGCAATTTGATAAGAGAATAAACAGAAAGAAGAAGAAATATATTATTGTAATACAATCTAAACATTACATAAAATGTCTGTGATATAATCTTTTTAACTGCAATTTGAAAAAATAGAGCTATATAAATTTCTTAATGACAGGTTTTAAATCTCTTGGACAAACAGGAGCAGTGTTGGATCGGGACTTCCAGTGCCTACCGGTCAGAACGGAGAAGGCCCACCTATCAATATTTTTTCATGGGCCGATTTCTTGAAGAGCAAAAACGGCCTTCTTTGCACATTGATGCTTTTTTCAAGGGTTATTTCGCATTTCTTATTCTCAAGGGCACACAGACTGAGGTCCACTAACTTAGGTCCACTGATTAAGGCACAGTGCCCGAAAGAGGATCCACTGCCCAAACGAGGGCCTACTGCCTGAAAGAGGGCCCACAGCTTGAACGAAGGCCTACCGGTCTTTTTCTTGTAGACCAACGGCCCAATCCGACACTGGACAGGACTAATAATTGATAAATTAGGTGAAATTGTAAATAACCATTTCATATATTTTTAAAATCAATTTGTACAATACTTATTTTCATTTTTCTTAAAAATAAATATAAACTGTCATTGTCACGACACTCATATTATAACATCATATTTAAAAAGGCATGCGACATTACAATGTCGACTGGTTGTATACCACTCGACTTTATGTCTAACAACAAATGTCGAATTCGCCATTCCAGAATACGTTTTTGCGTTCTTATTCGACATTTCATCAATGTCGCGTGTGACATTTAGAAATAGACATTCGAGACTAGGGCCCCAGGTCTTAAAATATATTCCGAAAGTAAGTAGACAACATTTTAGTTAAATAATCGTAAATAATAATAGATTTTACAGAAATAACTACAATAAAAATAATTTAGTGACATACCTTTGAACTACTTACTTTTTTTACAACATTCAAATATACATTAAAAAAAACTTGAAAAGTTCATGTTAAAATCAATGACAAAATTGTTTGACGTCACACCAATGCAGCTCATTTAAAATAACGTTAAAAGTTTTATTTCTCGAAACATTTGCTACCGCTCAACCATCAACCCTGTAATAGTAAATTAGTCAGAAGGAAGAATGAATCGGATTGAATAAATAAAGATTCGAATACCCACAGCAGTTGAGTGCGGTCCTGGCGTTAAAACAACGCGAACTCGTATTATAGTCCAATGATACGGTGACGCATAGCACAAGCGACCTTGTAAAAAAAAATTTGTTTATTTACTGTTTTCGAGAGTGTTGATGGGAATCAGAAATTATCGACCTCTAATTTTTCGAAAGAAAAAAAAGAAGAAAAAAAAAGAAAAAAAAAAAAAAAAAGTAAAGAAAAAGAAGAAAAAAATAAGCAAAAAAAATAAAAAATAAGCAAAAAAAATAAAAAATAAGCAAAAAAAAGAAAAAATAAGCAAAAAAAAAGAAAAAATAAGCAGAAAAAAAGAAAAATAAGCAAAAAAAAAGAAAAATAATCAAAAAAAAAAAAGAGAAATAAGCAAAAAAAAACAGTTACAAAATAAGAAAAAATAAGCAAGAAAAAAGAAAAAATAAGTAAAAAAAAAAGAAAAAATAAGTAAAAAAATAAGCAAAAAAAATAGTTACAAAAGTGATGATTTTTTTTGGGGTTCTGTACCCCAAAGGATCCCATTACCAAGCCTCGGCTGTCCGTCCGTCTGTTTATCAGCGGGCTGTATCTTATGATCCGTAAAAGGTATAGTTAAAATTTTCACAGAATGTGTATTTCTGTTGGTATAGCAACAAATTATAAACATAAATTAAAGGGGGTTCCCCTACTAGAAATCTGTTTTTTTGCTTTTTTGCTCGATCTCGATAAAGTATTTAAAACGTACCTACATAGCATTAAATCTAGTACGATGGTGCGTAACCCTTAAAGCGCGAGCTCGACTCACACTTGGCAGTTTTTTTTTTAATAACTCCTAAGCTATGTCTATGTACAGTAGAGCTGTAAAAGTAACGAGAAAATCAATACCCGTATGTATTCGTTACTTCGGATCTGACTACCCGTATAAAAATATTCGTTACTCGTTACTTTCGTTACTGTGATACGAATCTACAGAACACGCATCGTGTGGACCTCATACACGTCTATGCGGATGCGGAATTGGTGTCGGTAACTAATCGTACGTACGCATTGCTTCGGTTGTTAGGTTTTGGTACTGTCTAACAGAGGATGCGGATGAAATTAGATATCGAATCGTTGGTTAAATAAATACATAGCGAATTTGGAATTTGTAATTAGTAACAAAGTCGTGTAGTTCACTGAGCATGAGCAATGAGAACTGATGTGAAGTTTTGCAAAATAAAATATCGTCAGACAGGTTGAACAGAAACATATATATTTTTCTAACACACTAGTAGAAACAATAATAATACTCTATAAAATCATAACTTTAATAAACAAAAACATATATTCTTGCAACACGCAACAGAAAAACAACTATTATACTATTCTTTAAAACTGAAATAAATAAATACATAAATATGAACAAAAGTACGTTTCGAGTCCCAGTCGACGTGCGGTTCGATAGTCGATTCGCGGTGGCGGTATGTATTCTCAAGTATTATTATTGTGCGTTATGCGACGATGCGGATGCGAGTAACGAAATTTAAAATGCAGTAACGAATTCGTATTTCGTATCTGACCGACTACCCGTTACTGAGTAACGAATACATACGGTTTGCCACAGCTCTAATGTACAGCGCTCAAAAACACTGTTATAACGATAATATCTAGAAACAGTTAAAAAATCACAAATACAAAACCCCGCCTAAAACTAACACAATGTAAATAAAAAATATCCTTCTTATATGTGACAAATGACAGGCGCGCGAAAATTAATTCATTAAATCATGTATTGTACAACTAGAGAAATGAAAATTGTCGATTATACGAGATGTATTGCCTGAGACCGCAGGTCGAATGGTGTTTTTTTAGACAATACGAGTACATCGCGTTTCGAGAATGTTCAATTGTCGAGTTGTATACAGATAAACTATATCAAGAAAAAATCATCGATTAATTCGGTAGAAATACTGTTAAAACGAGCCATGATGGAAAATTATAACAAATTTGACAACTTTCAATTTTGAAGTGGAAATCTAGTTGCAGTTTTGATATAAGTGAATACACATATTATGAGAGAAGGAGGCGAATCGTCAATGGGCAAATTTCATAGGTCTTTCTTTTTATAAAATTTGCCAAATTGACTGTAGTTGGCAGGTCGAACGATAGTGACGTTAATTTTCTATGTAAATCAATGTGAAATGAAGTTGTTTTTAAAAAAAATGGTGAAAATAATCAAAACAATGTGAAAAAAGTACCTGACTACAAGTAACATGAGTGACAAAAAACATCAAAGCAAGATTTACTTCGTTCCAGGTCATAAAAGGGGATATAAATATAAAGAAAACACATAGATAAATCAAATCAAAGCCTTTTGAAAGCTCCTAGTGTAAGTAAAATTATTTATTTATTTCTAATATTTATATTTATAATATTTATTGTAAACTAGTCGAAACCCGTATTTTATAGGTGTAGTTTATTTTATTACACATTTCTATAATATAAAATTTTAGTCATACATCCTTATTTACATATTACATTTAACTTACTAGAAAATATTTTTTTTTTTCAGAGTTTTAATGTTAGATGTAGAGTTACTACCATTATTTTTTAATTGAACCCCAATTTGTCATTGTAAATGTTTTTTTTTTGTAGGATCTTAAACGTTTATGACAGTGACAGCATATCAGTCCCAGCGCTGATAAAGCACTCTAGAGATGTTGCTGTTTGGAAGCTACACTTTTTGGAATATATTTCCAAATATTATTTTTAATTTTTACTGATGATACTGTTAGCAAAATAAAAAGTGGAAGGCTAAAATTAAAGGATAAGGCAATACCATGTATATTCCCCAATCTCCCTTTATACTTGTATTATAACAATAAAAAATCTTTTAACTGTGTTTTATTTGGCTATTAAAACTATATTCAGGTATAATTAAAAAAAAAATAGCCACAAATTTGTATGTACTTGACAAATTTCACCATTTACCAAACTATTTCGAATTTGGTCATACCTTATTTGCATTTTATATAGATAAAATTAAATAATTTATCACTTAAAACATGCAAGACGTATTTAGAAATAAATACAACAATATTGTCTGTACTTTATTTTGCAATAAACAAGTTTATTTTTATTATTTTTACAAAATTATGTAAAATTCCCATAAGATGCCATGTATTTTTAACATCTCTAGCAACACCAGCGCCCCTGACGTGAATTGTAAAAGCTAAATTAACATTCGTTTTTTGGGACCGTATTTCCAGTATGGCGATTCGCCTCCTTGTCTCTAGTCTTCATAATACAAATAACCGTTGTAATACATGATAACAACGATATATTAAGTGTTTTCATTGGTTCATATTTCAATGAGTGATATAGTCGATGACATTTAGCTTTTAGAATTTAGCCTGCATATGAAAAATGTTCCAAAAAAAAGAGTATGAAATTTCTTTTTTTTTAATTTATAAACTCACTCAAGTGTAGTTTATATTAATTAGATCCCACCTTATGTTTTAGCCAGGAAAATATCCAACTTTATTGGAAAGTCATTTGGTGAACACATCACTTTTATAACTGATTTTTGCTTATAACATACAAGCCACTGAAACGTTCTCCCCCATTTTTTGCAAGGTCCGTACACTATACGATTGGACTATTAGTAAAAAGTGAGGTTAGACATTTTAAACTAGTGTGTTTCAAAACGTACAGATACGTACAATTTAGTTACGGATTTACGATAAAAAAACAAATTTTGAAGATTATTAGCCAGAAAAATTGAAAGCGAATTAAAGACAAAACAAAAACATGACATGGAAGTAAGAAAAGACAAGGAGAGAGTTAAAAGCATGGAAACAAGATCAATAGTGATAAAAAATTTACTTAACTTCGCCGATCTTCCACCAAAGTGATGATTATCGTTTACTAAACAAAAAATAGGACGATTTGATTAATGTCAAAATACCAATAAAACACATCAAACAGAATCAAAAAACTTTTAATAGCACAATTTTTTTTAAAGATATTTATAAAGACTGATTATTGTCAATATTTAATAACAATCCTATCTTCAGTTTGGTAAAATTTTAACAAATTTTTCAATTAGGTATAAATCGTATACATTGTAGTAATTGCTCAGACATACAAAGCATTAATTGGTTTATTTTTTTCGTTAAAGAGTGAGTAACAAAAAATAAAAAGAAAAATGACCGTCCTTATATTAAATAAGTCCAACTAAAAATGGTTTTACTCGGTATTTTTGGATATAATGGGGAAAAATTGGGAAATTGCTAAGGCTGTAAACTTACCTTCCGATCTGAATAATTCGATATGAAAAAGCTTGCTGCTACGTTGTTTACTTTAGTTTTTCAAGATATTTAATAAAACATAAAACCATATGAACACGTGTTTTGTGAAGTGGATATACAGGGTGTTATACTATAAAGAGGGTTAAATTGTTTAAAAACAATAATTATTAAGTTAATAACTTCTTACAGAATAATAGTATTTTCGTACTAATTTGCTTCTAAATTCCTAACCTAATTAAACAAATAAATGAAGCTTTTTTTAGAGAACCTAAGATCTTTATTGATTGTTTTTATGTAAATTGGATTAAACATTCCAACGTCTTACTACAGCTAATAATTATGAATAAGAACACTTTTAGAATAATAGGGTGACTCATAACTGTATATGCAAAAGTTAAGAAACGAACAAAATAGGCGTGGATAATGGAGACCAATTATGTTGATTATGTCAAAAGAAACCAAAAACCATCAAATACTGTGCAATTACAAGAGATTCTATCAAACATTTTCAGTAAACTGGACAAAAAATTGAATTTACTAATTCCACAACCAGATAAACTTTGGCAGATGTCTAGACTGTGTGCATTTTGAAGTTCATGTCATTCGGACAATCATATTCTCTAACTCTGTCAAAGTTTATCAAGTCGATAAATTTCGTTTAATGTTTTTGCTACTGGCTGAAACGCAACTGCTGAAATGTATAGCATTGTCAAGGTAGCTAAGAAGCTTGTATTCAGAGCCAAAAATTGTACTACAAGCATACATTTTATGTTCTCACTCTTATTCGACACACAAACCAATTAACGAAAGAACGTCAGCCTCTAAAAAATGCAACACTCTTAATCAAAAATAAAAACTTAAAGTAACAAAAAACAGTAACAAAGCAATTCTGCAATCACACATTTTACCGACTTTGAATTATCAATCGAATACTGAGAGATGGAGAAGAAGTTGAGCCAATTATTTCTGTTTTGTAGATTTGTTGTTGTTTCCATGTTTTTATGCACGGTCCCAAATGTGTGTGATTTTTTTTTCGTTTCATTTATTTGTACGCAAAACTCTATGACGCGCCTGACCAGCCCATCGAGATACTCTCTGATAGGCTCGTGAGGCTCTGGAAATAAATAGCAATCTGTTCCACCAGGGGCCTGAAAAAATGATACACCAATAGCTAATTGATCCGGTAGGCACAGTGAAAATTGCCAATATAAAGCAAAACAGATCCTCTAACAGCAATTAACATTTCATTAAAATTCCAAATGACTTTTATACATTGTGTCAAAGGAACTTGATATTTTAATCGATATTGTAAATTTTCATCTGCAATTACCAGCAATACGCAATTTTGATAATTTCATACCCGTGATGAAAATGTTTTGAAATTTTAGCGAGAAACATTTGAAAATTTAGTAAGGTGAATTTATTTTCTGACCTTTTATCAAATCGGTTTTTATACATAGTTAGAAAAACATAATTTTGTATACACATCTCTGTATACCACTAAGGTAAAAAGTAATAAGAAACATACAGTTATATGCATACAAGAAGGCATTTTAATTATAAATAATATAGTAGAAAAATCTAAATGATTTTTGTAACACTTTAGAGCAACTTTACAGTTAGTGAGCGTGATGGTTCCACAGTAACGCATCAGTCTCGCATTTGGAAGGTAGTGGGTTCGAGCCTTTCGAAGGGTTTCTCATAGGCAAATGCTGGATCAGTAACATCCTCTCAGATACCTACCACCATTCCTTCCACCCCCATCCCTGATTCCTCCAGTGCAGCAGTCCGCTCACAACTGGGAGAATAAAATACACATCCTTTATATTTTTCTCACAGTTATCAATTTTCCTGACTGCAAGTAAATAAGAGACGCAGTTCCCTAAAAAATGGCGACTCTCCCATTAATCTACTAATCGATATATTGTTACGTTTGTTTACTTTAAACAACAGTTTATTTTTTAAACACTTATTTAGTTAAAATGAATACTATTCTAATTTATATATATTTCGAATATCTTTAAATTGTTCACTATTTATCTTCACAAGTGTTTGTATACGACTAACTGCTCCGGGTTCCTCCACCAATATTTATATACATATAAAACTTTGGTGAAGGTTCCAGAATGTTCTCATCAATTCTCACCAACACTAGTAACATTATCACGTTCAATCTGGAATGTACTCGAAAGCGCCTTCGCCATAGTCGTAACATATGTTTGGTCTTAAGGGGTTTATTTATGTATGATAATCGGACAAGTTGAGTCTCAAAGGCCAAATAAGACAGAGAGGGACTTGGAGGATAGAGCATGACTGAATAATGAAATATCTCGCATTACAATATTTTAACTGATATCGGTTAAGTCTGTTAATGGGACCAGACCCTTAATTTTAAAGCCTGCATTCCACGAAATAATGGACAAATATATGTATTTTACTTTAAATTCCGTTAGAAAAAGTTTTTTTTTTTTTTACTTTTTTTTTACTTTTTTTTTACTTTTTTTTTACTTTTTTTTTTACTTTTTTTTTACTTTTTTTTTTTTTTTAGTAGTAGGAAGTTTTCTGTTAAATACATTTAATGTTTTTAAAACCTGACATACTGAAAACGTTTGAACTATTTTGTAGATTCTACTGAAACTGGATCTATACAAAATTATAAAGATAAGCGAAAGTTACCCAAACAAACTTAAAAGCACCCAAACAATCTTGGTAAAAACTTACGTTTCACAACGTATTTTAAGACGCAGCCTCAAACGATTTACTCAATAAGATCCGAAGTAAGGTCGACCTTCACCCATCTGTTTAATGGATCAAAGTTTATTTTTATTAAATAAACAATGTTTATAAATATACCGCAAATGGGTTGCCTAAAAAAATACGGTCCAGACTATTTATTTTCTTAAAGATGCTTCGACTATGTCCAAATTTTAATCAGCTCACCGCAGGATGGATTAAAGCTTAAGTTTAAAATTTGTTGTTTTTCTCTTCATCCGTTTTTGAGTCATCTTCAAAATTTGCATTTTTCCTCAAATATCTCGAATCAGATCCATTTTAGGGAAATCATGTATAGGGAAAAATAATGAATGACATTATAAGCAACTTTTTTCATGATTCCCATATTTTCCTTATCTGTACACAGAAAGGAAAGTAAAAAATGGCCGTGACCATATTTTCTTAGGCAACCTATTTGCGGTATATTTAAAAACATATTTTATTTAATAAAAAAAAAACTTATATCCATTAAACTGATGGGTGAAGGTCGGACCTTACTTACGGATTCGGTACTATTTGACTCAGTTCAAGAGAATCTAAATTTTATATTATTAACCTACATTTTATATATACTTATTTACACTTGTGATGTCCCAAGCTTTAAATAGTTGCAATGTAATTAAAAATTAATAGGGTATAACCTCTGTGTTACTTCCTACATGTCTTAGGATAATTGTCAAAATATGTATTCATTGTTCTATACATGAATAGATTGTAAATTAAATTGGGAAAATAAAAAAGATTCTATTAATCCGATTAAATAAAAAAGGCCAGAAAAAGTTACAATAACAGTATGCAGCGTTTAAAAGTATCGATTTCAATCCTAACTTTAAAAACGGAAACACTCACCTCTTCTTCTCTTCTTTGGTATCTCGTTTGGCTTCTCATTGTAACTGCGCTTCATCCTTTCTATGCTCGCCGGATTATCGGTATCGTAAAGGCAAACGACTTGGTGAGGAAGAACAACGGCTCTGTTTAGATTGGGGTAACGAGTAACCGGATCCAGCGTGTACGATTTCCAATCCTTGTTCAGATTGTCGGGTGTCGTTTGCGCCAGCAATCTGTATATCGATTCCCTTTCGGCGATCGTGTCTAGAGGCGATGCCGTACCCATGGACCAGCTTCTGATCGCCCAAGCCGCGTCCAAGGCCGAAAGAAAGCCTCTCGCGCAACCCGATCCCGTCGGCCAAAATGGCTAAAGAACAAATTTTGAGGTTAGACGTTGATCAAAATATTATTGTTTGGGGCCAAGTATCAGATTAGGGATAGTTGTCGGGAAATATTTAAAAATAATCGAATTCTTACAGCCCGTTGCAACAACGATTGTTAAAATCCCTAATTAGCTAATGAACCCATAACTTCATTGATTCCTTAAATTATTTCCTGAACGGTAAATTTGGTAACGGCGCTTTTCCAACTTACGTAGACAATTGGTGGTATATGAAAAACTTTTTTATTATTACTATTAGGAAAAAAAGTTATTCTTCATAAAAAGTCGAGCATGGTCTAAAACCTAAAATACAACCATCGGATATGAAATTTTATCAGTCATATACGAGGTTTGTCAACAATAAAGGTACTTTACTCTTCACGGAAAATCATATTTTTTGACAAACCTCGTACACGGCTTAAAAAAATTGATATTTGATGGTTGCATTTTAAGTTTTGGATCATGCAGAACATTTTATCAATGTTAAATTTTTTCACAAAACCAATAATAAAAAAGTTTTCCATATGGTTCCAACTTTAGTGGACACACTGTATAACAAGAGATTTATAAAGAAAATATATACATGGGTATAATATCAGAAATGGTGAAAGTATACAAATTTAAAGAACTTAAGGCCATTTTCAACGAAATAAACAAAGCTTAAAAAAGCTTAAAATAAATAAAATAATATTTTCACTATACTACAATCGTCAGAATCTTAGTTTTCCAAATGTAAAGAGTATTGAACAAATATCTGAGTAGTTCTCTTCTATTAATAATTATCCAATTATTATAACTGAAATTGAAACTTTTCAACTAATGAAAAAATATTATAAACTTTTTTAAATTTTCTTGAAAATATTAAATGCTCTTCAAACACAAACAACATTTAAAATAATACAGCGAAAGTACTTGTGGACTAGTTGATTTTTTTTCTTGTATTAAGTTTTGTAATGTTGACTTTGTTTTAAATACCAGTATAGTAAACAATTGCCTCAAAGTACCTTCATTAATAATATAACTCCATGCTTACCTCAAGTAGACTGTCACCGACGAGAATCTTCAACAACCGGCAACCATGCCTTTCGACCACTTTGGAGGCATTTTCGGCGGCATACATCGAAGTGAAATCAAACATGGCGACGTCTGGCTGTCCGTAATGATTGACGGCGAAATCGAGATTCGGCATTTGATAATTTGTACTGAAATTCGCAGCTTCTATGGCGTAATTCTGCAAAGCTTCCTTGTCTACGTTCTCGGGCGCCAGCAGTCTTTCCGTATCGGAAAAATCCTGAAACGTAAACAGATGAATGGATGAGTGAGCGACAAAGATAACTCTGATAAGAACAGTCAAGATTAGTATTTCAAAAGTACTCACTTGCTTTATCACTCCCTTCTGGATTAAACTATGTTTCTTGGCAGTCATAACGAAATAATGAGTATCGTCCTTATAATATACTATATTTTCTAAATCTATCTTGGTAGCCTCCTGCAAATCCTTAAAAAACTTCTGATTGAATATGAACGCCACGCCGCTAATTTCTTCGACGCACGCTTCAGCTTCCGTCTTTTTGTTTATGAAGTTGGCAGTAATGGCGATGGCGAGCTTACCTCTGAACTCTTTGCGCGAGAAGCCCTGCAGTGTGTTACGTTTACCATCAGCTCCTATTACCACGTCGAATTCGTACTGGGAAACCGGATGATTAGACGGTTTGAAGGCCGCTCTCCAGCCTATTTCTGAAACAAATACATGAAAGTAGTAAGTAAGCCCCAGTACACATTTATCATTATTTCCCCAGATCTAGGGAAATTTGTAGAGTAGATAGCAACATCGTACCGCATGAAACAATGATAAAACGGCTGATAATTAACCAGAAACTTAACAAAATATGAAACATTGCTCCTCCAGGGCACCGTCCAGATACCTACTTTTCAAATGGAAAACGTGTAGTTAACTGTGGACAAAAGACATTTAAGTAAAGGTAGGACAAAAATGTCTACACCGGCACACAAAAAAAAGTTGTTTGTACATCAGACACGACCTACCTACCGGCATGTATTTTGACCCGCTGAATCCGAATTTCAAGTCAGTTTGGGCCGTCCACCCTTCAATATCCACCCTTGCAATATTTCTAAAAACTGATGTATGAACTGAATGAGACGAAAGATTTTCTCAGATTTTGAACTGTTTTTTGTTGGTATCAAACTTTTTTGTTCTCAAATGACGTCCGCAGTATTCAGCGGATCGAAGTACATAAGAATTATGCTTGGTTTCGATTCATAATTTTTTTTATTACTAATTATCTTATTTTCACTATTTTTACAATTGACTCGATATTGAAGGGTGGACGGCCCAAACTGACTTGAAATTCGGATTCAGCGGGTCAAAATACATGCCGGTAGGTAGGTCGTGTCTGATGTACAAACAACTTTTTTTTTGAGTGCCGGTTTAATTTAAAGGAGAAAAGTTATTTGTAATAGGGTAAAGTGAATTGGACAATAAAATAAACGACATCTACAGCAGCATGCGCTCGCGTTAACGAAGGTTAGGTTAAGGGGGGAGGGGGTCAGACTACTTGTTTAAAAATTTGTTGTCTTTTCCTTCGCCTAAGCTAACCATCGTTCACGTGAAGGTATGTCGTTGTATGTGCCGTTCATTAACCATCACTTTACTCTATTACAATAGCTATTTGTGTATTAAGAGCAAAAAGTAGCACTTTGACAATTGAGACAGAAAGTGGCGGCAATCTGTAGAACCTGCCAAAAGGACTTTCTGCTCGAACTACCCACAATATTTTTTCTACAATCACACCAAAATAACAAATAATTTAATTTTATTAGAAATGGGTTACCTTCTTTCGATATAATATTGTAAGTTTATTTGAAATAACCCTACTCTTCGAAGAGAAGAAAATGTTGTACGTATATGTCGGTAATTATTTATGATTTAAGCATTTAATTATTTACGGAAAATACTGTTGAATGATTTAAGATATTAGGAAGTTAATTTAATATTTTAGATTAACCTACATTTTGTTTTAAAATACCAATTAGCTTTCCTTTATTTAATTAAAATGAAAACAGACAAGCGTGTGCCAAAGTTATTTTGGCGCGCGTGTGCGCCAATAATGTCCAGAGTGAACTACACGTTTTCCATTTAAAAAGCATTAGTGTCCAAGATCCTATCTGTCTAAAGGGATATATTGATGTGGACGGTACACTGGACAAGTGGTGTTGCCTTATTCTGTCAAGTTTCTGATTAATTAGCGGCCGTACTCACCATTGATTCATGAGGTAAAATGTTGCAGGTCTAATCTACACATTTCCTTAGATCTGGGGAAATAAAGGTGAATATATGCTGAACGGGCTTACTTAGTACTGTTAAAACTATTGTTTTTTTAAGTCCATTAAATACTCAATTCAATTCTTTATTAATCCCTTTAAACAGGTGTAATGTTATTGGTGATAGCCATAGGCGGAAAATATTAAACAAATCCTCCGATTAGAATTAAAAACATAATAGTACAGTTATTAAACTTACTTTTATCTGGATCTGGTTCGACGAGGTTTTCGAAACTGAGTTCAGTGTGGACTTCGATGCCCAACAAAAGAGCTACCTTCAACAGGATGCACTGCAATTGCCTGATGCTGATGTGATCGATGGCGCCGGCGCAGAATTTCCCGAAAAACTTTTTCGCACCGAGCATCCTTAAATCTTCGATGACGAAAGGCCATAAATGCAGCACGTTATTTCTCGAGAATCTGTCTCGCTTTTCCACGACGACCTGAAAACCAAAATCGTTAGAGTCACTTAGTTCGTAATATTTCTTGCTTCCAAGTAATATTGTATTTAAATTCGGTAAAATCAAACATACCACTTTGGCTCCCAATAGTTGCGCTTCGATGGCGGTCCTCATACCGCACGGCCCGCCCCCGATCACCAACACCCTCGTGTTCGCCGCCACCTTCCCTTTCAGATAGCACTTGTGCGCAGCCCGCGAGTCGAACTTCTTCAGCAGCGCCTTCGCCCTCCACGACGTCAGATTCGCCCTCAGCTTGGGATAGAATTGATTGAAGACGTTGGGGCGCAAATGTAGGCTGTCTACCAGGCCCCGGTAGTAGCCCAAGATGTGTTTCATGCTTGTGGCGTTCACGAACAGCTCGAAGTATTCGTTGGCGTGGGCGGCGTCCACGCCCGCTACTTGTATGCTGTTCGCAACCGGCTGCTGCTGTTTGCCGTAATCCATGATGGTGCTTAGCCGTAGAAACTAATGAGTGGTTTTATTCACTAATCGATATCTGAAAAGAATAATTGAAAGTATTTAATTAATCATATCGGAAAAATAAACAAATCAGTTACGGTAGGTATTTGGATGAGGATGTTCACTGTTTGATTGCTGGAATTAAGATCCGTATTTTTAATTTTAATAGAATATTTGCGATTTTTGAGTATTTTAGTTTTACACCCTTCGGACCTCCGTGCTATCACCCTAATAACACGGCCCATGGTGGAGAGTCCCAGTGGTCACCCATCCACCCTTGCTTAACGGTTGCGAGAATGTGTATGCACACTGTCCCAGCTAGCCTAGTCTACAACCTAATTTTACTTCAACCTAGTTTTACAACCAATATATAGGAAATAATGTATTAAAAATGACACTGAAAAAAAAAAAAAAAAAGATGAATTAGAATACCTATTGACATTTTTGTTGAACTAACTCTTTCGAAAATTTAATCTCGAAAATCATTTTTTTTTTTCTAAAACTTTTATGAAAACAATTTAGTTTTACAACCTAGTTATACAAACTAGTTTTACAACCCAGTTTTACAACACAGCTTCTACAATCCAATTTTTCAAGCTAATTTTACACGTCATAAAAATGACAATGAAAAATCGTTTAAGAAAATAACGTAAACAAAGTCTTTAGAGTTAGCCATGACAAACAAAGAGGGAGATGAGCCATGTCCATAACAACAAACTACACACTGCTATTATAAATAATATATTCCTTACTACCAGGTAATACCACAAGTGTATTACTTAAAATTGTAAACTAGAGAAAACTATTTTTTTTATTTAATTGACAATATGACATCTTTCATTATTTTAATTACATATCATTGATTTGATGCAATCTTCCGACACATACTCCTCCGAAGGGAATACAAATTGTCATTTAAAGTTGTAAGTTCTGACATAAAGAATAAGTAGGTACTAGTAAGATGTTATGTTATGTTGATAATGGGGTGTTAATACACTGCGACCTAAAAGATCTATTGTGCCCCCTTCTGTCGCCACTGCACTAAGGAAATGTCTCAATGCCTATAGCGACCCTTCCAATCCTATTTTCTCAAGGAAGTGTAGGATTTGAAGTGGCTTCAAGTTAGGTAAGTCTCCCTCTTCTATTTGATATCCTCCTAGATATAGTGCCCTTGGATTCTGGAGTGCTACACATTCAGTTAGGATGTGAATGGAGGTTTCGTCCTCCTCCTCCTCACAGAATCTGCACTCACTATCCTCTACTACTCTCAGTTTACTTAGGTGTCCTTTTAGTCGGCAGTGCCCGGTAAGGATCCCTGTTACAATACGTAGCCTGTTCTTGCTCAGGCAGATGCAGGCTTCCGATCTTTTTTGGTTATATTCACCCAGAAGTATCTTGGCCTGTCTCAGCCCCAAGAGATTGTTCCAATTATCGGTTCTTCTACTACCCAATTCTTTTTTAATCTCTTCTAATATTATGTTACTGCTGATACCGCAGATACTAGTAAGATAGGACATCCTGTAATTGTAATTTACAAGACAGAAAAGCAGTGTTTTGGAGGTCGAGACAAGCTTGGAGAGACCTGCTTAACAGTAATTTTCGGTCGCGTGACGTACAATATTTTTTTTTTTAAGACCGGACACTTCGATGGAAACTCAATTATTTATTTTATTCAATAAAGTGATTAACAAATACTAAAACTGATAAACTGCATAAACTAACCAAATATGTTTGAATATTTATGTTAAATGTACATTTTTGCTGTTTCCAAAATTTCAGATAATTCAAAATCTGAATCCATATTTTTAAATTTACGAAAACAAGTTTGACATAAACAACAAATTAAAAATCAAAGAACTGTCACTTGGCAATAAATCGGAACGTTGTTACCACGAGGCAGACTGTATTATGAAACGGCGATCGGAAAAATTAAAAACATAGACCGGTAAAACTTTTACTGTTCCTTAACGTCTACTTTCTGGTCTTGATCGGCAAAACGTTATTTTCTGGATGAAAAATTGTTCAGAAAGTGTATACTTTCTGGTCGGTCTTAAAAAATGTTATATTTCTCGATCTCTTAATAATAATAATAATGTGGCGCCTACACAGAACACGAGGCGAAATAACCTTAGTAGTTGAAGCCGATGACACACAAAATAATAATAATAATATTAATAAAAAAAAGGGGGTGGGTGATTCAGTGGTAGTCTCTGCCTGCGGATCCAAGGGTCCCAGGTCCGAATCCCACCGTTGACCGGGATTTTGTTATTTAATTTAATTATTTAAAATTAATTATGATGCCTTGGTAGGATTCCCCACTCGACCAGTCACTGTTGGGTTCTAATTAACAGTGCTGTTCCTAAAGTGGCGTTGAGAAACAGTAACAAAGGCTACACAGAACACGAGGCTAATAACCTTAGCAGTTGATGCCAATGACACCAAATTAAAAATAATAATACTCTCCCTAATTTACCCCCTTACGAGGAATTTTAACCCTAAAATCTGAGCTTGTCTGGGGAAAGGACGGAGCTATAATTATTTGCCGTGGGGCTCCGGCGCGCTTTACAGGTAAGGAAACCCCGGAAAATCTCACCATCATGATGTATACTTCTATCGTATTGTCTTTTATTTAATCTTTTAAAAATTACAATATCTGTTTATAACTATGTAAATTATGTATTTTTAATTTTATCGACAGCTTTTGCGGTATTTACAAAAAAAGACGTGTTCCAAAAAAATGAAAATTAATCGTCAAATTTTTTTAGAGCGATATTCTCGATACATAAACATATTCTGCATACCAATCAGAACATGTTACTGGTTATAAAATCACGCATTTTCCAATCAACACATTAAAATTCCATTCCTATATAACGATAAGATTGAAAATCAAATTTTTTTTGTGTCAAACAACTCGAGAATTGTTTAATGCGAGTACGGCCATTTAATTATGCAAAAAAATACACGTAAAATGACACACCTTTAGGCATGGAGTATATTATACAGGTTTGAACGGAACGTGCCGATATGTTACACTGTAAATACGCGGACTAAATAAGCTGAATTTTTTTAGGTAAAATAATGAAAGTTCTTTATTAGTTCAATCATTCACGAAGAGTTGAATTTTTACGGCAACTCGCAGGAGTCCGAGAGAACACTTTTCGCCCGTGTTTCCATACATTATTTTTTATTCGAACGAGCTTGTAGATATTAAAAAATATATAAAATTAAATCTGAAATAATAATGGGCGTTTTGACATCTACCGATACCAACACCGGCACGGCGCCGTCACCGACACTATACCGGTAAAATATTTTCATATTAGCCGGCACAGCACCTGGCCAGTTTTGCCATTGATAGGGAAATTACCCTAAATCTGGGGAAAATCTGCAATCAGTAGGAAAAAAGAAATTTTCTATAATTTAGGGAATTTTTAAACTTCTTTGATTTTGTTACATTTGTAAAAAAACTTTATTAAACAATCACTTAAGACATTATTAGAAAACGTTTTACCTTTGGCAAAAACGCTATCTATGCTAAGTCTGATTTACTATTAGCAGCTCAGAATCTTAAAGTTGAATTTATTAACCTTACTCCCAAAATATAAACAAAGAGAAACTTTGTAAGTAAATTCCCATTATAGGCTATTTTCAAATTCGAGATAAAGTGAATCTCCCAAGATATATATTGTCGACAGTTTGGATTTACATAAGAAAAATCAACAAATGACGCACTTGTATCACTCACAAACGACATTGTCAAAAGTATCTATTCTGGTTTTTTAATAATTATAATAATACTCTCCTTAATCCACCCCCTTATGAGTGAATTTTAACCCCAAAAGCTGAGCTTGAAAATTGAAAATAAAAAGAAACAAAAAAAAAACAAAAAAAAAAAAGAAAATCTAAAAAATCATATATTTCTTAGTTCCTCTTATAAACATGTATTACGCCCAAAAAATGTTATAAATTTAATTAATTAATATAGTTATTATTATTATTATTATTACTATTGTTGTATTTATTGTTATTGGTATTATTTTTTTATTTGGTGTCATCAATATCGACTACTAAGGCCATTAGCCTCGTGTTCTGTGTAGGCTTTGTTACTGCTTCCCAGCGCCACTTTAGGAACAGCACTATTAATTGTTGTTTTAGTCTGTAGTGAGTCCTGCAATACGTTAATTCGATGAAAGTATTATAAAAACACTAATTTATAGTTAAACCACGCACAGACTTGCTCTTCTGTGGGACTATCATATTTATTTTTTCCTAATATGACTTATAATTATTTGGTAAATAAATATTATTATTATTATTATTATTATTTATGAGAAATGTCGACGTAGGTTTCTCATGAAAATCTTGAAATAAATCGAGTTTGAAAATTGGATCTCGGCTCGGTATTCGGTAGTATTTAAGGAGAATCACACAAGGGAAATGGTACCTATTCTACATGCTAAAAATTTGATAAAAGAGCAACTGTATCGATTTTAAAATTTATACAGTTAGTGGCTAAGTATGTATTATGCATTAATTTTTATGTTTTATTAGATGTATTTTTAATCCAAATTTAAATAATGGGTCCTATGATCGAACGTTTACGTTATCCGTAACGTACATGTTAGGCCGAGTTTTTACATTAACGAGGCAAGTGCGTATGATGGAAAACTTTTTCCAACACATTACTGTTATTTTCCGCTTATTATGTTCTAATTTAACAGTTTTCCATCACAAAAACTTGTCTCGTTACTGTTAAAACTCGGTCTAACATGTACGTTACGGATAACGTAAACGTTCAATCATAGCACCCAATGGCTCCTATGATTGAACGTTTACGTTATCCGTAACGTACATGTTAGGCCGAGTTTTAACAGTAACAAGGCAAGTTCGTACGATGGAAAACTTTTTCCAACACATTACTGTTATTTTCCGCCTGTTACGTTCTAATTTAACAGGTTTCCATCATACGAACTTGCCTCATT